TTTGTCATACTCATAATCCACATTATATTTCACCAGTTTCAATATAATCCATTGAAATTTAATTGAAAAAAATTTGAGTTATTAACATACTACTGGGAACAAAAAAAAATGGTTGAAGCATGGAATTAGCTACCATAAGAAACAGTCACAGGAATGACACAAACATCCTAACAGAAAATATGCATATTTAATACTGGATACAAGCATACCAGTTGTCTAAACCTTTTGCCTGCATAATATACATCTTATAAGAAAAAAAAATGTAAACTATGAGATAGCTAAAGGTACATTCACTAAAATAAAATAACAAAATACGCACTAATTTACTAATTAAGTGCATAAAACAGAACTGTGCATCTACATGGAACATTTTGCTGCTCTTACTAAATTGCAATTATCGTGTGGTTCCTCCTGCGAGACTACCGGAGAGTCTATCAGGGGGTCACGATCATCTCCCGGTTCCTCGGGACGGTGCTCCGACACCCTCCTTTCAGTGCGGTTCCGGCACGCATCACATGTCTTCATTTCTATACATACTTCTTAACTGTGGACTGTCAATAGAAGTCCTTCAGTATGTTTCATTCTCTCTTATGTTTAAACTTTTGATAAATGGTGCATTGGTTATGTATAAATATCAAAATTGGCTGGAGTGTTAATAACCTGGTACACAGGCTATAATCTTGTTTTTCAGGTTTAAATACTCAAAAGTGATACTATGTTAGTGATATTTTAAAGCATTTTTGTTCATTTATTTATTATTGTTATCTAATATTCACTTCATTGTTAATATGATTGTAGTATTACAAAATCCTTTAGTAAATTTCACTGCATAATGCTACATTGTCTAATAATTATGTTCTGTAAATGTAAATAAGCTTCAACAAATAATATAATTCAGTTAGTGGGTAATCTACTATGCTAAGATTATTCAAATTTAACCACCAATATATCCCTTTTAAAATTAATTAAATACCTCATCATCACTGTCTAGTAAAGAACACTGTTCCATAAAATCAGATAAAAAAATAAAGTCAGTAATCAGTAGTAGAAGGCACTAATTATTCTAGTTCATGAGCAAGATCACACAAAGCCCATCCATATATGTATGGGACGTGACCTCTTAAGAATATAATAGAGCCTAGTTATAATAAAATATAGAATCTGATTCGGTTGAACAAAGATAATCTATCCACCAGGCAGAAGGAAATGATTGTATGCAAATGAAATTGTTGACCATTAGCGAAAATAATAAGAGATAAAGACTCAATAACAACACACTCTTCTTGAGGGAGCATAAGACCCTAAGAACTACCTACGACTAAATTTCTGTATAATTAAAAGTGCACTTACTACAAAAATCTGGCCTCGGTAATATGCAAACGTATTCCATAGAATTTATCACCGACTTCAGACAATCAGCTCCATTGTTTCGGATACATTTATATACGTACTAATTTTAATTAAGTATGTAAAGAAGTTTAAAAATTGATTAATGTGTAATAAAATGAGCTGCTATCCAGAAATGAGTAGGTAAAACAACCACCAGCAACAAAATGTGCTTGCGTATTTTTGACAGCCCTGCTGACATTTTAAAATAAACCATAGAGAATTATATTATTTCGATTTTACTAAAGTAAAACGAAACGTTATTTAAGGCAGCGTTAGACTTGCAATTTATTAAACTTTAAGTTGCAAGAATTTTGTGGCAAAATTTTCATTTTAGGGGTCTGAATCCGACATGATTTATACACAATATGAAGTTTATATTTATAAACAACCCTCTGAGTACTGAAACCTATGGAGATGGCATACCTACGAAATAAACGTGTATACATGCGTAAGCATCTAATAGTCTGTGGTGTATACATAAAGTTACTGGGAAACGAAAATGGCGCCTTTACATAGTGGTGCCCCAAGGCTGCCCCATTGTATATCGATATCTTTATAATACAATATATATCACACAATACATATCATGTTTTAAATGCAAAAGTTTGTCTGTTTGTTACCTCTCCTGCTAAACGGATGTAAGGATTTGAATGAATAGATGCCTATTTTATTTACCACGCCACGTGAATACATATAAATAAAGTCATCCTATAAAAAAATTAAACGCAGGTGAAATCGTGGGCAACAGCAGCTAGTTATACTCGTAAATTAACCTATTAAAAATAATAATAATATGATAGTCGTTAAAAAAATGTGAATAGGATGAAATGTTGGTATAAGTATTTGTTAAATGTAATTGGGGTACTTTTAAGGACATCTCCTTATTACAAAATTTTGCCCCGAAGGCATTATCAAATATAGTCCTATTCGAAAAAGGGTATTTATTTTGTAAAGTACAAAATAATAGATAAGTAATTGTTTTAAACGGCGGTCGTGATCTTTTATTGTATTTTAATCTTTTTAAGTGCACTAAAAATGTTATATGTACTTGAAGTAATTCAAGTATTTTCTAGTGTTTATCACGTTTTACAAAAAAAGTGCTATTATATTTCAACAAAACAAAGTGCTACTATTTATTTATTTATTAATTATATTCAAACTAATTTTAGAATAGAAAAAACGCAACATATATTTTTATATAACACTACATAACTATTAACAGTTTATTCAAAGGACTTCTTATCAAGACTGAACTGTATGATTCAATTAAAATTCAATATTGTGACTAATATAAAAATAATAGGATGGGATTACTTAAACCTAATATCATAAATGCATTCGTCTCTCTTTAATTAAGGTGGGTGGACTAAGACACACGCATATTTTATATAAAGTTACAATTATACCGAATTTATTAGTAAAATAGTTTAAATACTTGGAGCCAACTAAACAATATAATGTTTGTTTCTTAGGTTTTCACGCACATCACTCATTAAATAAAACTAGTTTTTACGGGTTAATGCACGAAACTTTATTTATTTATTGACGTTTCGCAGCCTTTTCAGGTCTGCATCGTCAGAATAATGATTTTTTATTTAAAATTGTCGAGCTACCTTCGAAAGACTTATATTGAGCGTTCGGTTATTTCATTGGAAAATTTTTAAAATTTTATTGTCTATGTATGAATTTATTATTTAATTTACTTAATAAAGTATTTTATTTAAAATTCTTGTTTGTAATTTTGAGTTTATTTATTTGACCCTAACTACCGTAAACTACCACCGGTTCCAAAATTGGGAGACCTTCCTGAGAAGAACCGGCGAAACAAACTCAAGAGAGGCTTTCTATCTCCTTCTTATGTTAAATTATGCAAACAAAAAGAACTAATAGTATCTGATGGTCTTGCAGTGTGTGCTCGGGGTTGGGATTTTATCTCCTGTATAATAGGTTCCCAAGCTGGTGGTATATACCAACCATCTTCCCTATTGAAATTTGGATATTTTTTAATCTCAATAGCCTCGCGCATCATTCAAGGAACGAACCGCCGCTCAGCTGCAAGGCACATGAACAGAACATGCATTAGGGGGACCAAACCACTACATTAGATTTGATAGACCACAGATCCTTGCAGCTGAGCGGCGGTTCGTTCCTCGAATGATGCGCGAGGCTATTGAGATTAAAAAATATCCAAATTTCAATAGGGAAGATGGTTGGTATATACCACCAGCTTGGGAACCTATTATACAGGAGATAAAATCCCAACCCCGAGCACACACTGCAAGACCATCAGATACTATTAGTTCTTTTTGTTTGCATAATTTAACATAAGAAGGAGATAGAAAGCCTCTCTTGAGTTTGTTTCGCCGGTTCTTCTCAGGAAGGTCTCCCAATTTTGGAACCGGTGGTAGTTTACGGTAGTTAGGGTCAAATAAATAAACTCAAAATTACAAACAAGAATTTTAAATAAAATACTTTATTAAGTAAATTAAATAATAAATTCATACATAGACAATAAAATTTTAAAAATCTTCCAATGAAATAACCGAACGCTCAATATAAGTCTTTCGAAGGTAGCTCGACAATTTTAAATAATAAAATCATTATTCTGACGATGCAGACCTGAAAAGGCTGCGAAACGTCAATAAATAAATAAAGTTTCGTGCATTAACCCGTAAAAACAAGTTTTATTTAATATAATGTTTATAGTCAAACTATGATTTTAGACATAAATAAGTATCAAGTATGTGAATATATATGAATATAATTTTTAAGTATAAAAATATGAAATAATTTTATTAACCTGATTAAATGCATCATGTTTAGCAATAGATAGGGTCTTAATTTTCTATTTCTGTTAAGTACCAGATGAACTGGATTGCTATGACGGCTAAAACATGAATGATAAGGATAAGCAGGCACGGACCGCGAGGAAATGAGAAGGCTATATGGCAACGTATAACTGACCATGCATTTGAATATCATAAATATTTTATATTAAATTAGTTTATAGTGAGTATTAGATTTTACTTCATTAAAATTTACTTCAAATGCGTTAAATTCACAAACATTGATATTAGATACCTGTCGAAAAAACGACACTTTTCGTACTCTAAGTATTATTTTCGCATTTTTTCGTGGAGCTCTGTGGCATCTTGACTTTGAAACGGTCCGCACGTGACTGTGAACTAAGAAGTGCTTGAGTGGAGTTCAAGCACTTCTTGATTGGGACACATGAGCGCTCGTGGTGTATCTAGGGTATTTAATATCGTTGTAGGTACATACTATTTCAACAACACAACACGACACTTAAAGCTGTCACTAACCATAATAAATGTATGAAACCGATGTGCTTCTGCCGCGTCAAGACACGTAAATATGTTTCCGCCTTTGGTAGATACCGTCATCATCATACAACAATTACCCCACCTGGACTCAAACCTTTTAGTAGGTGATACATGGGTGATACCTTGAAAACCAGTGTGTAACATTCCATCGTGAAGGTCGATTAAAATAGGAAAAATTGAAGGTTTCTTGCGTTTTTGTGTGTCCTTAGCCTTAGATTTGTCAGACCATAGAGAGAGAAAAATAACCATTACGTTTTAAGTCAGACAGACAGATCACACGTCATCTCGTATGAGCTGTCATCTGTCATTATCTGATTTTCTAAGGATTTCGGGATTTTTATGATTATTGAGTGCATTATTGTTTATTCTTAGTTTACAGCAAAATGGTAGGTAAATTATTAATAATATCTGTAGTTAAAATCATATACATAGTCTTTCAATTTTCAATCAGAAGTTAAATTGGTGAAAAAGTTCACAATGTGCAGGTTGTTTTCTAAAATTATTTAGATTGTTTTTTTTCTCGATTTTCAGGTGCTAATAGCGGCTACTGTTTGTACAAAATCGGGAAAAGGTAATAAATGTTCTCAATTATCGCTCGCTTTTCTGTTTTATAAATAAATATGGTAATTGTTACTTTATCTTCGATTGCAGCTTTGATATCCCGTCAATTTGTGGAGATGACGAAAGCACGTATAGAAGGATTATTAGCGGCATTCCCAAAGCTGATGACTGGAGGGCGTCAACACACATTTGTTGAAACAGAATCAGTTAGGTACTAAGTTAACAATAAAAGTCAATAAAGAAGTTAAGATATTTATTACTGCCCCCCTAGCATGAGCACCGCGATATGATATAAACGCATTTTTATCACACTCAATTGTCAAATTACTATGGAGTTGACAAATAGATGCGATAAAAAAACTTGATATAATGTAAATAGTAGTGCTCATGCTACATGGACTGCATTATCAATGTTTCTGTAAATATTTTTGTAGTATATATTATGTTCCTTACAAACCATAGTTCAGGCTTTGCATGATGTGAATCTAAATAATAATTGATGTGAGTTGTTCAAGAATAATATTATTTAGGAAACATTAAAAGTGTACTGTTAAAATGGTGATTTCTTTTCTCAATCTGTGAATACATTTAAAAAAAAGTTTAATCTAATCAATAACTTACTGTAACAAAACATTATTTAATTTTAAAGTTTAATTCTATCATCAACGATAATAATAAATTCTGTACAACATATATCAGTATTTCTGTCTTAAACTAGGTACATCTAGGAATATGAAAATGATATTTTTTATAATTTATTTTACAGATATGTGTACCAGCCTCTTGATAAATTGTATATGCTCCTCATCACTACAAAAGCAAGTAACATACTTGAAGATTTGGAGACACTTCGTTTGTTCAGCAGAGTGGTATGGCAAATCTCACTGTAAAATAAGTTTTTATTTTAAGTATTGATACATTTATGTTCTGATGATCTCTGTTAATATCGTAAAAAAACTAGTAATGTTACTTTTGTTTGGCAAGGGTAACGATACTCAGAAAATAACCGTTACTCAAATTAACATTACTCTGATTGCATTATGCATATCTGTTAAAACCTACCATTATAGTAAAATTACTACTTTACTTTTTAGTAATTAGCTTTCTTGGGTAATAAGCTAGGCACAGGAAGTGTCTGTTAAATTCTACTACTGCAGTAGGAATTTATAAAATTTCATATTTAGTCACAAATTGATATGCAAAACAAGACGTCATCTTGTATATAGAAAAAAATATTAATAATAATTAAGGTTCACGCTTGACGTAGTAGTGAAGACGCTCCGCCCATCAATAAACAATAGATGCATATGAGACTCTTATAGTCATATTATTGGTTTTGAAATAGTAATACAAAGTTTGTAACAGAGTTTGTTACAATTTCTTTTTTATGTTATAATGGTGGGCAAGAAGCATATTGCCCGCTCAATGGTAAATGGCCACCATAGCCTATAGATGCTTGCAATACAAAAAATATCACTTGCATTGTTGTCTACCCTAACCCAAGCCCCTACTCCATGGAGCCGTTGCACCTTACTTACCGACAGAAACGAAACATTACAAAAAGGTCGGCTATGGATGTAAGGACCTCTCTTAAGTTTGCATACTGTATTTACTTATGAATAAAATAGTATTCGTGATTTTGGAATTGCAATACTAAGTTTTTACAGAGTTTGTCAGTAATACTATAAGTTTATAATATTCCAGGTGCCAGAATACTGCACACAGCTGACGGAAGCGGAGGTGTTGAACCAGGCATTCAATCTTCTCTTTGCCTTTGACGAGATTGTTGCCTTAGGATACAGGGAGAGTGTCAATTTGGCACAGGTAATTATTATTTTACATCATAAATGTATGTTAATAGTGAAATTGATGAAACTGAAACTAGCAGCTGACAGAAATTTTTTTTTTTTCAACTAAACTATTAAAGTATATTGGCTGAAATTACACCCACTATTTCTTCGCCCCAAAAAGAAGTTCTGGGGAAAATTTCATCAATTTCGTATGTGTAGGAGATGAGATACAGCTTTTTAGACAATAAAAAATCATTCTCCTGACAGAAAATATTTTTTTACAACTTAACTATTAGAGTATCTTGGCTGAAATTACTTCCGCTATTTCTTCACACTAAAAGTTTTGGGGAAAATTTCAGGAATTTCGTATGTGTAGGAGATGAGATATGTTAATTATGTTTTATTTTGTGTAAAGTAGTTATTTTATTTACTAACACTAGACCTAAGAAACATTTATACTAACACTAGATAAATAATATTTTATTATGTGGAATGTCTCTGAAATAAATATAGTATATTGTTTTTATACTTTTGTTACAGGTTCGGTCATTTGTCGAGATGGATTCGCATGAAGAGAAGATTTATCAAGCTGTAAGACAGGTATGAATAGTTTAATATACCTAATCAAAATACTGTATCGTTCTACGTGAATATAGGTCTGAATATCAATCAGTTATAAAATTTAAACAAAATATTCTTCAATTTTTACCGTAAACTACATCAAAACCGAAAATTCTAATTCTATATCTTAATCTAAACATTAAATACATAAAGACTGTGTGTTTTATAACCAATAAATTTGTTTTAATGCTACTTAACAGACCCAAGAGAGAGAAGCAGCTAACCGAATGAGAGAGCGTGCAAAAGAGTTGCAGCGAGAGAGACTCGAAGCTGCAAAGCGTGGAACGCCTCCACGATCACAAATGTCATTTGGTGAGCAATTTATTCGTTCACCAGCAGTTTATTAATATCCCCACTTTTGGGGGTACAGGCCGTCTCTGTTTTAAAATTCAAAATTATCACAGATCAGGCCTTCCCTATATCAAAATTCAAAATAATTTGTTCAGTTTGTAGAACGTCATACACATTGCCATCGATTCGAAAATCTGCAGGGAAAGACCTTGTACTGAGAAAAATATCCTCAGCTTATTAATGTCTATTTATGTGTATATTTGGTTATAGGTGTATATTAATATTAATTAGTGTATATTATTATACTATTTATACTTACTCCCTTAGATGTCATTTCCACAACACCCTATGGTTGACTGGTAGAGAATGCCTTCGACATTAAGTCCGCCATTGTACAATAGTGCATGACAAATAGAACAAATAATATCTCTGCTGTTGGGGTACAGGCCATCCCTCCTTCTGGAACAGGGAGGTTGGACTATGACCAGACGCAGGCCCAGTGTGGATTGCTGAGTACAAATGATGAAACGTTAGGAGAATTCGAGATATATATTTATATATACCCATCGTGTGATTAGCTATTGCTTAATTGATTAACATGCTTTCCGAAGTACAAAGCAAAATATTTTTGATCACCCATCTCAGGACTGGCCAATTGGCCAATATAAAAGTTTCTTAACTTAACGAACGTGCTAGCCACAGTGACATTGAGCTCCTCATTTATTCATTAATCATAAATACAATGGTATACATCATAACAAACTTCTTGAACAACGACCATAGACAAGAAATAGCAAGTTTACATATAAAAACGTCTTCTGCGCAAGTTTGTCTGTGGTTTTGCTCAAGATGTTTGCCACCATGCTTACCTAGTAATGTAGTTAGAAAAACCACAAACCACAGAAAGAGGTTAGAAGGGGCATTTGGGAGGGGCAGGCGCGCCACAGTTATGTATGAGCAAACGCTCATAACTTGACCAAAACTTGGTTCTGTTTGTCTTTATAGTAAGTTATTGTAGTTATAGTAAATTGGTGTTATTGGTGCAGGTAGCGGTTTCGGAAGCTCCTCCGTATCTTCGGCGGCGGTGAAAGAACCAATGGTGGAGATTCCCTCCACTCCGGCCCGAGACACGTGAGTCGTACAATATTTGTAACACTATGATTATAAATACAATACTAGCGGCCGCCCGTAACTTCAACCACGCTATATTTGCTTTTTTGAGAATACCACAGGAACCAAATTTTTTTTGGGAATTAAAAGTATCCTTTGTCTTAATCCAGGTTATAAACTATAAGCATACGCATCCAAATCCGGTCAGTAGTTTTTTCGTGATCTAGTAACAGACATACAAACTTTCATATTTATAGTAGGAAAGGATAGGATTTCTAAGAAAAAAATTACTCGGTCTTAGATGATTAGAAGATGTGGTACTAGCATCTCACTAGAGTACACCTAAAAATTTAGTTTATTCACAGAATAACATAAAATCGAATTTCAACGCAATAATAAAGCAATAATATTAAAAACCGATATTGAATGATATTTGGAATACATTGGTGTCGATTCGGGCATTATTCTTTAAACCTAAACTTAAATTTGACAACAGTGCATCTTTGTCATTCTTTATACTAAATGAAAAGGAGAGACTGATGTTAAATTTAGTTTTAAGTTTAGAGAATCATGCAAGAATCCACACCATTATACTCATCAAAAAAGTCGTAAGCAACATGTTAGGCGGTTTGAACTTCTGAACAAATCTTAATCTACCCATCATCAGACCCATTTTTGTCTTCTAGACTGTACCTGGGAAAGCAATGTTTATGAACTTATTAAAGGTCAATGTCAAAGATTTTTTTCAGGGTTTATTGGGAACAAATTTTAAAGATTATATCTTAATTTCTGTCCAAAAAAACTTTATAATATTGTTTTAGTATTTCGTAACAAAAATGGCTTACAAAAGTCAGCACTCAATCTTTGTACTGTAAGCGCTTACACACAAACGCATCAAGGTGTGTTTCGCGCTGTTCATTGCATGGTACTGTTTACAATTCATTTTTAACACCAATGAAATTAAAATTGTGTTACAACAATAATTTAAGTTTCTTATTTAGATGTATAGAATACGCGAGCTTCGGCGTTGTCGACAGTCGTTTTGCACCCTGTATTTATAGTATTGTTATAAACACAATCGAAAAATTTATATTTTTCAAATTCAGTCAATTATAGTACCGAGGCCCTGATTGTCCGTGTCGAATTCTTTTCTAGTATTTCTTAGGCTGCATGGCATCGCGGTAGCATAATGGTCAGTGCATTCTCCCGGATAGCGAAGGGTGCTGGTTCGAGTCCCGTCTGCTGCGGATTATTTCTAGAAAATTTTTCTTTAAATTTAAACATTTAGCAGTAGAATGCTTAAAAACTATAGTTGCGTGCTCAAAGAAAATATTAAAATAAATATTTCCAACACTCACACCAATTAGCCTAGCCCCAAAGTAACAACAGTAAAGCTTGTGTTATGGGATACTAGGGTAATGGATAGAATACACAAAATGGTGTCGATTCTAGCCTGATTCTCTAAACCTTAACTTAAATTTGACGACAGTGTATCCTTGTCATTCTCTTTCTCTATACAGTATAAAATAGAGAGACTGATGTTAAATTTAGTTTTAAGTTTAGAGAATCATGCTAGAATCAACACCACTGTACATATATAAGTATATATATATTCAAAAATGCATATTAATCATCCATGACTGGAGTACAATGTACATTCTACGGTGGGGGACCACCGGAATTCGAACCCGGGACCTCTCCAGTACCGCTACGACACTGGGTGAAGCACCATATCCTATAATAATTTTTAGGTAATTATTTATTATACTAACATATTTATAAGTAAATCAAATGTTACTATCACTATGGAACCCAGTTCTGAAATAAATTATTTCACTTTTACCTGTTTTGACATTGTGGGTTACCTACAATGCGAAGAGATGGCGCTACCTTGCAGCCTAAGGCTAGAGAATATTCGACACAGCCGTCAGGGCCGCGGTAGCATAATGGTCGGTGCATTCGCCAGGATAACGAACGGTGCGGGTTCCAGTTCCGTCTGCTGCCTGGTCCGCGTGAAAATTTTTCTAGTATACTTTTCTTTAGATTTAAACATCTAGCAATTAAATGCTTAAAAAATAAAAAACATGACTAAATGATTTTAATGAGGGCTACCGTTTTCTGTCTCACCAGATGGCGCCACTGTTGAGTGAGGTCCTAAATTGTAACTTTTAAAGTTTATTAATACGCACATGAAATCAAAGGTTACATTTAGATCGTATTTTAATACAAAAGAACCATATCCTAAACATAATAGGCCATGCCACAGTAACGCCCAGTTCCGTTTTATTCGGAAAAAATGGGAACATAATCATTTTTCTAAGCTCAAATTTTTAATAACTGACATTCATTGCCACATAACTCATATTTGCCATAATTAAGCCGAATTGTTACCAATTATTCACAAATTTAATAAGAAATAAACCCGCGCAGTCAACCAACAAGCAATAACATTTGACATTTCGGAGACCTCACGCTACACTAGCGCCTCTAGCGGCGGATTCATACGCGATAGCCCTCATTGAATAGGTGATATTTGTAATTGTGTTCTCGTAGTCGCGGTACAAGTCGTTCGGCCATGAAGCTGGGGTCGCGCGGCACGGACGCGGAGTCGTTCGTGTCCCGCCTGCGGTCCGAGGGGGACGCGGCCGCGCCCGCCCCGGGACCTATCGTTTCCAAAACGGACCCAGCTGCGCCCGTCGTCAATGTCAACCAGAAAGAGTGAGCTATTCATTATAATATACTAGCAAACCAGTGAACCAAATGTTCACCAAATTAATTGAGAACTTCGGAGATTTTGTGTGGTTTCGTTTGAAATTCGTGATTTCTCGAAAACCGGAAGTGCTACGTTACTCAAATCAGGTTTGTAGTCTTATCAGACTATTCTTAACTTATAACTTAAATATTCTCTTTATCTATCTCTTACGGTTTGGCCGCTGAAACAGCACCACAGACAGACGGACGGACTTGTCTAATAGATAAGAGATACTGGTCCTGAGGGAGGGTCACAGGAGAAATGTGCCCCCCCCCCCCCCCCCCAAATCGCATCGCATCCCATTGACCACGTAATAGAAGTAGTTGTCGCGCGGCACGGACGCGAGGTTCGAAGGACCTGTCCGCACCCGTCTCCAATGTCAACCAGGAGTGTGATTCATAATTTATATATATAGGTACACGACAATCGACGCATTCCAGAAAAGTTCAGTTCAATTAAGGATTTAGTCCACCTTGCACCGGTGAGTGTGGGTGTACTTTTACGTAGGCAGCTTGCACAGAGGCGGTCCTAAGGATGTGTCACAGGGGACATGACCCCCTCCCCCCCCCCCGCAAATAGTACGCACACCAGGGTGCAAATCAACTCGTAAGTGGCCCAGGGTGCCAAATTTTAAAATGGGGCGGTTTTTAGGAACCGACACTTCTTGGTTGCACCCGACAATCCTCTAGGCCCGCGTGGTGGGTCATAGCCCAATCTCCCTATTCCATCCATAGGGAAGGCCTGTGCCTCAGCAATTGGGACATTAATAGGCTGATAATGAAGACTTCTCGGTTGCTCTAGCCCTACGGTCTCCACACCTCAAAATCCCTGGTTTCCTAGCACCGGCGAGTACTTATTGGCAACTTTCATTACATTTTCACCCTTACGTCATACTACTAAGGCTCATATTCGAATGGGCCACATCACTCAGCCTTCGTATTAAGATATTTTGGGCAGTGGCGTTTTAATCATGGTTTTGGTTCTACAGCGCTCGTGAGTAAAAATACGTATATTGACTTGTTTATCGCACCACGGGTCATTCGGCCATGAAGCGCTGCGCCCGCTCTGAATAGTAAATTATGAAAACTAAATGGCAAAAATTCTCAATTGATTGATTATTATGAATTATATGTCTAATGTAATAAAGCTCAAAGTCAGTTAATTCTAATCCCTCAAAATAAAGAGTTCGCTAATATGTATTATGTCTTCACACAAGTAAAACTGGTGTATTATTGAAATTAACTTTCTATTTTGTAACATGTAACGAAAAGTTGTCTGATAATTTATACTTATACAAAATTGACATTTTTTGAAGTATTTCCCCACACCTTTATTTCATTTAAGTGGGTCGCCTCAACACCTAACGCACCAGAATTCTCGAAGATCATTGTAATAAAATTTGAAAATAGCAATATTTGGACTACACACAGACATAAATGTATTGAATTCTAATTGATATAATCCTTTTATAGTGTGCACTTGCGATTCGAAGAGCGACTAAACTTAGTGGCTGGTCGAGACGGCGATATACAAAACTTTGAGCTCTCCGGTAAGATATTTATGACCTTTAAATATGTTATTATACCTAATGAGGTTATTAAATGAATGCTAGGTAAAACGAGAATACTGTAATATGACTGTTAAGTTTTAATACTTATGTTAGAATTTTTTGCATGCTATTAATATGGCTAAATAGGTTTAAGATATGCAAATACCTTTTGTCAACCCTATTTAATGTAAATAAAGAGTATTGTATTCTATTCTAATGACATTTTTCTACGGTTTTTTGTTCATAAATTACAATAGGTATTTTTATGCCAGCACTTTATATGGTTATTGTATTTGCCTATACTAAATATGACAACAGTCTTTCCTTTTCATTCCATATACATGATAAGGATAGACTCCAATCAAATTTAATAATAATAATTCATTTATTATATTAATAATTTATTTATTATGGAGCATAGGTACAATAATGGGGTGTAGCATCAGTGCATACAGTTCAGCAATGTCCTGCCATAAGGCGTACAATTACATAATAAAATTAAATGTCACAATTTAAAATTATATTATTATCAATGTCAATCAAGTTTATTTCTATTTATTCAATTCATATAACTTATCAATACCAAGTTTATGTTACAGTATTATATATATGTATACATATATATAAAATGTCAAGTGTTACTCAAAATCTCATTGTTAAATTTCTTTGTCAAATAAGAATTCCTTAATTGTGTAGTAGCATTTGTCAACCAAGAAATTCTTTAATATATGCTTGAAACTGAAGACATTCTCATTAGTTCTTATTGGACCAGGAATTTTATTATATACGCAAAGGGCGTTACAGAACACACTCTGATTCATAAGTGCAGTATTCGAAGGAACCATGCGGAATTTATCCCTATGGCTAAATTAGAAAAAGCAAATATGAAGAACCGTATGAAGCGCTAATGTTCTATGAACCTTTTCATCTTCTAATCTTTTAATCAAAATAATTAAATATATATGCCTGTGAATTGCTTTTTTGCATTTTCCTTATTTGTCTATTGTAATAAAATATAATTCAATGCAATATTATTGTTATCAGTACTTAGTAAATATTTTAGCCTTTATTGAACAAAAAAGTATTAATAAGTGACGCCTTTTATTCAAAATTGATTGTATTTAAAGGGCTTTTAACTCTGCGCATCAGCAACGAACAATTTGGCAAGATTCGCGTGCACGTGGATAATAAAGATTCCAGATCACTACAACTTCAGGTAAACATAATGCTATTATCTATACTAATATATATACTTCTACTCATAATAGAAATGTTAAAGTAACAGGCTGACAGCTAACTCCATACCAAATTTTATTAAATTCGCTCCAGCCGTTTAGACGTGAAGAAGTGACAAACATACACACACACTCACAAACTTTCGCCTTTGTAATATTGGTGTGATTATCTGGAAATTAATTAATTATTAACCACCTTATTTCAAAACGTAGACCAAAGTTAAGCCTGGACTTAAACTGATGCTGTCACTTTTGTTTGGTATAAAGAAGACACGAGACAATATTTTAACGAAGACCGACTTTTGTCCACGTGTTTGAGGTGGTAAATCATGAACAGTTTACACCAGGTAGTCCAAAGAAATAACAATGATTTTTCAAGAGGTATATTATCTACAGTGCGACGAAGATATCGGGGCGCGTGGTCGAATTCGGAACTAATTTTAGGAATATATTGTTTTAAACTTTCATGGTCACTAACATTATAGTAATATAAGATATTTACGGGATTGTTACCATGTACCTTGTTTTTTACGGAATTGTTACCATGTACCTTGGTTTAAATTGTCTGGAATCCTGTGGTTGGTATGTGTAAAACCGGAAATAATCAAAAAAGTGTCGTGTCGCGATTCCGATACTGTAAGTTTTGTGTGTCGAAAACAGTTTCGAGTGAATAGTGAGAATGTGAACAGTGGTACGGGTATCGAACGCAATAGAAGACTTCGTCGAAGGGTAGACCGTTATGTCTGCCAATAACAGTCTACCCGCAATTTAGTCGATCTCCGTGACTGTGGTGTTGCCGACTCGAGAGGTCCCGGGTTCAAATCCTGGTGGGAGCAGTAGTTTGTGTGATGAATACGAGCATTTGTACTCCAGTCATGGATGTTTAATATGTATTTCTATAAAAAAAATACTTATATATGTACAGTATAATGTATTCTATCCGTTACTCTAGTATCCCATAACACAAGCCTTATAGTGCTTACTTTGAGGCTAGGCTAATTGATGTGAGTATTGTAAAAAAAAAATACTTCAGTTACTCCGTTACATGATCATTGCGCTTGCAACAGTGCCGAAATATCGGAAACTCGCTAAAACAAGGTATATGGTAACAATCCCGTAAATAACTTATATTACTAAATTTGGGAAGTTAAAAAATAAGCATTTTTTTTTAGGTGTTAATTAGCTCTTAATATTTCCTATAACTCTTTCCGATATATTGTTAATATAACGTTCTCTTGAGTGCGGAGATTTTAACTGCTTAGTAATCCTCATTTCATCATTTATTCACCAACAGAGCTCTTCTGTCAGTGTCATAAAAGTATCACAAGATCTTGGGTCGTACTCTAAATAAGAATTTAATAGGATAGAGTAATGCCTCAATTCGGGCACACGGAGACATTACTCTAATTCGGACATCCGAAGCAATATTTACACTAGAACTACGGGCTGGGAAGACGGTGTTGGGCTTAGATTAAAACAAAAAGGGAAGATACGGCACTCGGGGCTCAAAAGTGATCCGCTTAAATTGTGGTGCATGATCACAATACGCTATAGTCACAATTGGACATTCAAACACGCTGCATGTGCACTCAATATAACAATATTGCGTATATTCTGTGTTATAAAGATAAAACAATGCCTTCGATGCTTTTATAAATAACAAAAATAGTTCAAAATCAAATAACAAATGCCTCGGCAACATTTTCATTCGTAAAACTGTAAAATCATTTTTTTCTCAAAAATCACGGTATATTGTGAGTGTTATATACGTAATCGCAATTTTGTTATCAAGAAAAGGACAACAATACAGCTCAGCCGTTCGCACTCAAAAGCTGATTCGCCGTTTCGCTCGCTCTGCGTTGAAGCGTAAGGTTCTGTCCCGCTCGCTCGATTGAATGTATTTACAGACGTGTGCGTGTGTGAGAGTTGCTTATGTAGTTGAGTCGGATCATATTTTATTTGATGCTAATATGAGCGAACCGTATCTTCCCTTTCTGATTAAATGTAAGGTGTCGGGTAACCAAAACGAAATATAACCCGAATAGGGGTATTCTCGACTCCATTCATTTACACTTACACGTGTACCCGAATTCCATTGGCACTCGTATTCGGGCTAACGACCCAGTGTAATAGCGCCATAAGTATCATTGCGAATGTAATATAAATCGAGGCTAAATATTGCGTTTCGTTCACAGACTCATCCCAACGTGGATAAAGAATCGTTCCGTTCCAGCGGCGTTATAGGACTTAAGCAGAGCCAACGACCTTTCCCGCTCCACTCCGACGTGGGAGTACTCAAGTGGCGCCTAACTGGCGCTGGAGACGACAAACTGGCGCCGCTATCAGGTGAATTTATAATAATAAAAACAGGTATATTTAACTAACTCAAGTGGCGCCCAACTGGCACTGGAGATGACAAACTAACGCCGCTATTAGGTGATCTGGTGATGATAATAATAAAAGGTTTATTTATATAGCGCCGTTATATGAATTGGTTTATTTATATAGTGACCAAAAATTTACTATCTCGAACTCCTCCGTGCTTCGGAAGGCACATTAAGCCGTTGGTCCCGGCTGCATCTGCAGTCGTTAGCACCCACCAATCCGCACTGGGCCCGCGTGGTGGGTCATGGGCCAATCTCCCTATTCCATCTGTAGGGAAGGCCTGTGCCCCAGCAGTGGGGATATTAATAGGCTGATGATGATGATGTTAGATTATTCTGCTTGTAACGGCCTAGACTGAATAAATGATTTTTGATTTTATCGTATTATCGTGGTGCAGTGAACTGCTGGCCGTCAGAGGGCGCTAGCGGCGGCTGTGACGTCAACATCGAGTACGAACTCGAGCAAGATCATCTGTCTCTCTCTGACGTCAACATCACCATACCGCTGCCGTGAGTATAATAATAATAATAACTTTATTAGGGTTCCGTACGTCAAAAGGAAAAAACGGAACCCTTATAGGATCACTTTGTTGTCCGTTCGTCCGTCTGTCAAGACCGTATTTCTCAGGAACGCGTGGAGGTATCAAACAGAAATTCATATCTAATACTCAGGTCTACTATCCCTTGGAGCTATGAAAAAATCAAACTTCCAAGCCAAAGCAATCAAAAGATCAGCTGTTTATGCCGTAAATTTTCGAAACTCGCACGGTAATCAAAACCTATAGGGTACTTCCTGTGAACTTAGAATCTTGAAACTTGGTACGAAGTAATGTCTTATAGTACAGATAAAGGAAGAATTGCGAAAACCGTAAATTTTTAATTAATCATTTAATAAAAAATATTTTTGTAAATATTAAAGTTCCTACCTCTTTTCTCATGAACGCGTAGAGGTATTAAATTGAGTTTGTACGGAATCCTATGAGCGCTAGTCCGAATCGCACTTGACCGGTTTTTTTTTATTTAACATTGGTTTGGTTACATTCTATACAAGTGATTGGAGCCACCTATTAAGCAAATAATGCCCGTGACAGGTCACTTCGCTCTACCATACCTAAAATTACAGTTTGCTTATCTATCTTTATTTTTAAATAAAAAGTGGGACTTATAAATGTAAGTACATATATCAAACAATAATAAATCTTTAATTATTACATGGTTTTGACTTTGCAATTTATTGACACTGTAGTTAAATACTTATGTAATTAAATAAATAAAAATAAGAAAGTCTGTGTATTTGTGTGTTTTTACTATGTTACATTTTGTTATATATTTATACTTTAAAGTATCCTACTAACATTGTAAATGTAAATGATTATCCTATTTTTATTATAAACTGGTGGCCGCCCGCGACTTCGTCTGGGTTAACTTTGTTTTTTTTTAGAATCGCACAGGAATCCAAAATTTTCCGGGATAAAAAGTGTGTCCTATGTCTCAAAACAAGTCTTAAAGTATATGCATACCAAATTTCATCAAAATCCGTTGAGTAGTTTTTGCGTGATTGCGTAACAAATATACAAACTTTCCCATTTATAATATTACGCTGGAAATTACATATGGCTTTGAGCAAGCATACTACTATTCATAAAATAGCAAAATTTCAGTTCCGTAACTCCTTATCCGTCTACGATCTAGAGACCCGTGACAACCGGTCAGACAGACGAAAGAGTGACAGCAGTATGGTTAAGTTTTTACCCTTTGGGTACGGAATCCTAACACATGATATAATTTTCCAGGTCTGGCAACGTATCGGTGGTAGTCCACCAATGGGAGGGCAGTTACACGCAGAAGGGGCGTTCCCTCATATGGTCCATACCCATAGTGAATGCGCAACAGAAGACAGGCAGCCTGGAGTTCACGTGAGTATTATAGAAATAACGAATTTGAAATAATTATTTTTGGTCTTTAAGTAATAATAAGAAAACTGTATGAGTCGACTTTATCTGCTCTATTCAACGATATTAAATACCCTAGATACACCAACACGAACAAAATTGTGTCCGAAACCTGTCCAAAAGGTACATTGGACTATCCACGGAGCTCCACAAGATGGTCGCATTGTCAAAAACAATATAAGGCATTATTTAAACATTGAAAGTCACCTTTAATGCATACTGTATAAGGTCTTAATTAAAACGCATGCGTCAAAGAGTTATGATTTGCGGAAGAATGTAGACCTTATTTCTTCGACTCTACGCAGAATTCTGAATGCGCTGTTAGCATTATAGCGGTACGGACCGCGAGGAAAAGAGATGCCCGTATAACCGACCAATTATTTGAATATCACAAATATTTTCTATTAAATCAGTTTATAGTAAGTATTATGACAAAATTTGCTTCAAATGCGTTAATTAACTAACATTGATTAGATACCTGTCGATAAAACGACACTTTACATACTATAAGTATTTTTTTCGCATTTTTTCACGGAGCTCTGCGGCAACTTGACTTTTTAACGGTCCGCGCATGACTGTGAACCAAAAAGTGCTTGAATGGTGATCAAGCACTTCTTGATTGGGACATATTTTGAGCGCACGTAGTATTTCTAGGGTATTTAATATCGTTGGCTCTATTCCAAAACGCGGACTAAAGTTATTCATGATTTAAACTGCCCTCTTTTTAGCAAACGACGATTTCTTTTTTTCAAAAAAGTGACATTAGTTTTAAACTAGGTTTAGCTTGACTCAACCTTTTGTAATAAGGCGGCATGAGTTGAATCTAAACTCTTTCTATGTTTGAGGTTAAGGATCACTCAGTAAATTCTCAATGTCTACGAAAAATCTTATATTCGGTAATTTCGTTGCCTAAAATTTTTTTCACTTCCAGTGTGACTCCGGCCATCCCCAACGACTTCTTCCCGTTAACTGTCACTTGGACATCTGACACTTCACTGGCGATGTTGACAGCCACAAAGGTGACGCAGGCTGAGGATGGCAGCCCCGTAGATTTCTCCAAAGACATCAGTTTTCATCCAGACAAATACGAGATTGTCTAATTTATTGATAATAATATGATGATGAGTATTATAAGAATTTAGTTGGAAACACTTTGCCGGTTTTTTTTGTTATATAATTGTACTTATACTTATCTTGCACTTTTGTTGAATAAATAAATAAATACCGAAACCGAGTCACATTTCCTTAAAGTCTTAAAACAATAGGGTATTTGACAGCATTAAAAATAAAGTGCCAATTGTTAGCATCTGTGTTTAGAATGAATATTGGCAGGGGATTTGAGGGGGATTTTAGTAAAATTATGAATATTTATACAAAAAAGTATTCATAATTTAACTAAAAACTAAAGATAATAGTTTTATCTATTGTCACGTGACCTAAAACGCTTGGGATTGGCGGAACCTAAAATGACGTCACACGCAAGTAAACTTCCGGTTAAAGTGACATAAACGATTTCGCGGCAACTTGAAAATGGAGTTTTTGATTTGGTTATTTTTACTGAAACATACAACAGAATTATGAATATCCATTATTTACGGACTCCATAAACATTAATCAATAACGTGAGATCGTTTTCTAAAACTTGTCAAATATCCTATTGTGTTTTATATTCTTTTCATTGTTGTTTGTAAGCAAATAATCTGCCATTCTATTATCAACCTTAAGTTCAGATTATTATGTACCAACAAATATTCTAAAAAGTTAGCGGCGATCTGGTATATTAGATATTCCTTCTTTCTCAATAATACATAATGCCATGGACCAATAATATAATGCATAATTTGACTCGAAATATCCTATTGTTGAAATATGTCATGCAGTTACACTTGGTTTGCTAATATAAGTTAAAAAGAATACTTTTTGTTATAGTAATTATTTAGTTTCGTTTTCGGTATTAGTGAAAACAAATGTATTATTATAAACATTCCCAAGCCAAGCCAACTCATAATATATTATGATCTATTTTAGAAAAATTCCTCTTAATGAAAATAATATATTGGAGATTGACCATAACATTCATTTGTAATATCGATTTTTAAAATTTACAACCGGCTATGCAAAAATAAATTTTAGCAAAGGTTTCCATACGATATTTATATTGTAAGTGGAAAATATTATTTGATCAATACGAGAGTGTATAATTCTGCAATAAATATGAAAGTTATATAAATGTGATTGCGTTTCATTTTTATCGTTATTGAGTACCGAAAACATAACTCGTTTTTGAAGTACAGCTGACATTACATTAAGGTTGTTGAGCGTTTTTAGTCGATAGTTAGTCTTATAACAGACAATATAAATTAAAAGTTATTTGGAAGAATTTTATAAGTAGGTATTGTTTTTTGACCTGTCGCTAACTGTACTTTTAGTTCTCAGTGACATATCTTCATGAGTCATGATAAAACAAGATTGGTACTAACTTTCGTAAAGGTAAACATATAACATAAAATTATAAACTTAATCTATAAGATAAAATTATTCAATTGGAATTGATTATTCGCCTTGGATTAGCATCACGCTATCCAAAATATTATATCCAAAGAAACATACCTACTCAACTTTCACTGATTAACAAAAGCTGAAACAGTGCTTCGAACCTTTTACCAACATAGCGCACCGTTTTTATTAATATCTGGTATATAATTTGGTCTTGTTATCAAATAACCCACACCTAGCTTCCACAAACTGACAATTTTTCTCAACAGATAATGGATCTTATATCAAGCTGCATTAAAATCAAATTCAGGCCTAACCGTTTTGGGTAAATCGCGTCTATCGTATATCAAAGAAGGTGCTTGAGAGTATAAAATGGGAGTCATAATAATTATTATGTTAGTAACGTTAGAGAGTGGGTGTTTAGGGTTCGTGTTTGAACTGGAATCGTTAGAAGCTATACTATTTCCGAGAAGAAATGCAGAAGCAGACGCAGACCCAGGATTGATTCAAACAAGTGAGTAAAATTCATGTTAATAGTAACAGGTATTATTTATCAGTTGTTCGAAGCAGTGCCGTATTTGACCTATTGGAGGCCCTGGGCTAGTAAGGATAATGGGGCCTATGACCCCCGTTTGGTGATCTAACACGAACTAGGGACTTTGTATTTGATCCGAGGTGGGCCCCTATCGATCGCGGGGCCCTAGACACTAGCCCAAAGTGCCCACTGGGAAAGAGTGGTATGGTTTGAAGACAACAGATGGCGCTGTAAGAAAACATATTTTATGTTAACATAAAGTATGTGTAGTTATTGTGTATGGTACAAGTATTTCCGTGGAAAGTGCAAAGAACTCACTGAGAAATAAAATACAATGAAAATATTTTTCTTATAGACGTGATCGACTTTGAAACCTCAGTACCCTTAGTACGAGTTTTACAATTACGAAAACTATGATAGTTTTCGTGAGCTCAAACTCGTACTAAGGGTACCTACAGCACAAAAGAAGAAGAATGTTTTTCATTTCATTGTTTCTATATCTCGGTGTGGAATAATAATGTGTTTTTTGTTCCTCCTCTATGAATTGAAAATACAAGAAAAAATTCCTATTGATCACAGTTTAAGAGCCCTTTTATAAAATAGCGCCGCTGCCGCCCCGGACTGATCGGCGCGTAGGTAGACTTGCACTAGTATATATTGCATTTTATGGGTGATGTTTCGAGTCTTATAAAATAATTATTAATGAACTATTTATAAAAATATATACATATTTCAGTAGTTCAATGATGGTAGATTAGTTTTATGAAAGTTTTTGATAGTAATTATATTTTATTCAATATCAAAATACGAGTAAACCTGCATTATTTTTTGGGAAAACTCACGGATGTTTTTTTTTGATAATGAGATGGAAAATCAAAATTCTAATGCATTATGTTACAACAAAAATATATTTCTGATGTCGTAGTAATTTGATCTAATTAATTTATTGAACATTATTGAGAGATTGAGGCGTATGAAGTTGTGCATATTATCGTTTTTTCCGTAAACTAGCTGCAGCAGAACGATTAATACAAAAAAAGGAAAATAGTATTTGCAAATATTCTACATTACTTTACAATATGAAGAATAAATCTACTGTTTACTTCTATTGGAAATAGTCAAAATCTTTTCTAAGGGGGTAAACGAGGCGCTCGAAAATTACGTATTTTTTCAAAAAATGAGAAAGGGCTCTTATGAAAACATATTTTATATTAACTTGATAGTGTCTTGGGGAAATATCGGATCCGAAATATCGATAGTAGAACATAATATTTAAGTATTAAAAAAATGACAATATGAAACATCGGAAAAATTGAAAGTTTTTTCAAAATCATATGGAAAGCACGGCATTGCTAAAATGGCAAAGTTAGGTCTGGCGGCTCCCAAAACTGGCAGATGACTTATTAAACTGTTCTTTCAGTATTCCCAAACTTGATAAACATCGAGATGGATGCGCCGAAAGCATTGGAATCGAACTACCCGTGGATAGCCCGCGTGACGCACTCTAGTGGCTACAACCCGCACGTGTGCACAGCATCTTGCATACATGAACGTATATTTATAACTTCAGCAAGTTGCATTTTCAGGTAACTGATACAATAATAATCATCAGCCTATTAATATCCACCGTGCTGGAGCACAAGCCTTCCCTATGAATGGTTTAGGGAGAATGGGACATGACCTACCACGCGGGCTCAGTGCAGATTAGTTGGTGCTAACGACTGCAGATGCAGCCGGGACCAACAGCTTTATGTACCTTCCGGAGCACAGAAGAGCTCTAGATAGAAAATTTTTGGTCACCCATCCAATGACCGACCACTGCGAAAGTTGCTTAACTTCAACGATCACAGCCTAACTCGCTAATCACTTACGCCATTAAGCTTCGCTGACTGATATAATCATCATCACCATCCCAGCCGTATAACGCCAACTGATGAGACCGCCCCCAAGACTGATACAATGTTTAGAATTAACTAAGAAAGAAGAGCAGCACAGAGAATCATGAGCACCGCGATATGATATATAGCTACTTTTTATTACGCTTAATTGTCAAATGACTATGTAGTTTGACAGTTAAACGTGATATCGTGTAAATTGTGCTCATGCTACGGGGATAGGATTGTGCAGGTGGTTAGTACGTCCGGTCTGTGTTCGTGGAAGATGAAAACACTTCTCCCCGAGTTAGCAACCCACTAATCCGCAATGGGCCCGCGTTGTGGATCATGGTCCAATCTCGCTATGCCATCCATAGGGAACGTCTGAGCCATCAATAAGTGGCTGACGCTGATTTAATTAATTCGCGGAGGCATAATAATATTTCACACATGGCGATGAGGAGGTGACTAAACACCTCGAGCCTCTTCAATTACGCCATGATGTGGCGTCATTATACCACGGTGAGTGATTTGAGGAGTTACGCTCCTTTATCCCACCTTGCCCTTTCCTTTAGAGGACCACGCGCGCTGGCCTACGTTGTTACTGACTTACTGTGGCTACTATTTCAACGCCAATAAATAAATTTGGTGACTTATTTCTTTGCGCAAATTGAATGCTTTACCTGTTCCCTTCCTCATATTACCCGGAATTCTTTAATAGAGACATGAAAAGCAATATGCAGGCCGGCAAGGTGCGGATGCCTCATGTTGCAGGTAGAACTGCTGTACCATTTAATGTAATAAACTGATATTAGATACAAAAAGAATAAAATTAATGAATAATGATTTAAACATGCATAAATTTATATTCCAACAGCTTAAAAGTAAATTTGACGTCGGTAATTTATTCTGACACCATAATTCCGGCGTTGGCTTTCGTTTTGGCGGAAAACACGACGAAACAGCTATTCGACGACATCGGATTCATAGTAGTGAAGAAAGAATACGAGGGCGACTGGTCAACTATAGATATCGTCAACCAAAATAGGTCCGGTGAAGGTTTCAAATGGTTCGCCGATTGGAAACTACCCAATACTTCAGGAGAGTACAAAGTCGTTGGTTTCGCCACTGACAAGGTAGGTAAATTAAGAAAAAATTTCTACATGTCTATTTTTCTTTAAAATACATTTTTGCAAGGCCTTTGATAGACTCGCCCTCTGCAACTTTAGTTCTTTCTCAAGGTTGCCATATTAATCCTATACTTTATTAATTTGTATTTTAAGCGCAATTGAAAAGTTGATAATTTTATTAAGGAACACAAATCCAATACAAAATAATCAGGTAGTTTTTATTGTACAATAGTTCTGCCGTTCTAGTGAAGAATGCAGTAAGAGCTACTCCGACATGATTTTGAGAAAATGGCTTTTAATTTTTTTACTTTAGGCTGGCAGGCAGCGTTGTGGATAATCATATTTTGTTTTTAGTCTAATATAAGTAGGTAACTAACTTCAACTTCTTTTTAACAGACACTGAAGGAGAATGCTGCGAGAGTTCCTTATCATTTGCACGAGCTGGATGTAATAGTAGACATTAATTTGTGCTCCACAATATTGTCAGTGAACGGAGTAAAGGGTTTCTACACTCCATGCTACCACTCTTGCACACTTGAAGAACACCAAACGAACAAGAAATGTGATAAGTATCATGGGGTAGAAGGAGGGGCAGTCGTCGATGTGAAGGCGCAACAGTTACTAGGTGTTGCTACTTGGAGCGCCGCGACGCGCAAAATCATATTACCTGTTGGATTTTCAGTCCCCAACTCTAAGGAGTTTTATGAAAACTACGAATGCGCTATGCGTATCAAGAACGACGAAACTAGGGTAGTAAGAAGACCGAGTCACTACCAAAGTCTGTGTTCTGACTAACACAGAATAAGTACTACATCTAAAGATATTTTTTACTAGAAACAATATAGTCCAGTCATTACGTCGGAAAAATCGGGTTAGAAATGCAAATGAACCGAGAAAGCCAAATTTTGGATATTACGTGGGGGGTGGCTAGAAAAGCTTAAGTTCAAATTGTCGACCAAAAAAACCTTGTGGGTTTTCCGCCATCTTGAAAAAAGGGTTAAACTCAGTTTTTTTATCATAACTCGGTTCCCCGTCGAGATACGAAAATTTTTATAGAATACTTTTTTGTTACTCTTTGTACGATCTACAATTAAGGTCCTATACATTTTTCACGTATCGACCATCGTTGTCAAGATATTGATAAAAAAAGCCACAAATTTTGGGAGAAATTTTTTTTTTTCGCTATTTCCTTCTTTCTCACGAAAAATACCGAAAAATGTTTCGAATAAAACTTGTAGAGCCTGTTCAGACCTACAAATTCGTTTTTTAATTTTTCATTTTCGAGAAAAATTACGACCTCCAGCGCGCCGCAAAGTCGGCGCCAATGCGCCCGACGCCGGAATGTGCGTCGCGCCATGGCGGACGTGCGACGGTTGGAGTGTCGGCATGGGTCAGGTATAAAAGACCCTTTTTTGGCGTACGTGCCGGAACATCTGCTCCTTCTCGTAGAACATTCCAGTCAGTTGTCTCGAGTCTTTTGAAGCGAGCGTACGTGTTGAAAAATTTGTGTGAAAATGGGTGATTGTTTTATATGCAAAAAAACCTCTCATTGAAAATGTTTATGTGGCTAAAAAGAGAGCTGTACAGACTTTTTTAGCGGCGAGCGTGAAAAGAGGACGTGTGGATCATCAGCAGATTTTACAAGATCTTGATTCCGTGAGTGTTCATAGTTCGTGCTACAAAAAATATGGCAACCAACGCCTAGCGTCCATTGCTTCTCGACGAAGCGAGTCTCCATCGCAGGAACTAGAACCCGATGAACAACTACAAGTCGTTCCCACTTTTGATTTTAAAAGTCGATGCTTATTTTGTGGAGAAATATTTTGCGACGAATCAAGACTCCCAGTGCACAGACATGCGACAATGTCGCCAAAGTCGAGATATTACTCAATGACGATCACGATGATGAAGATTACGATTTTTCGACCGTCACAGCATCATTTCCTGCGATTGAAGAATTTACCCGACTCGAAGAGTGTACCGAGGAGGAACTTCAACAGCAGCCAGGACCATCAAAACGAAGAAAAACGTGTGACAAAAATGACCACGTGTAATATTATTATTTTTGCTGCATAAACATTTTTTGATTAATAAATTTCATGTGTTTGATTTATAATTTGGCTGGATTATTCATTTATTTTGTATAGCAATAAATCCCTTAACCAATAATTCATCAATTTTTACGTTGTGGATACAACCGTGCGAGCGGCTAAATCGAAACCGGGCACAGTCTTACTCACTTTGCGGCGCGCTGGAGGTCGTAATTTTTCTCGAAAATGAAAAATTAAAAAACGAATTTGTAGGTCTGAACAGGCTCTACAAGTTTTATTCGAAACATTTTTCGATATTTTTCGCGAGAAAGAAGGAAATAGCGAAAAAAAAAAATTTCTCCCAAAATTTGTGGCTTTTTTTATCGATATCTCGATAACGATGGTCGATACGCGAAAAATGTATAGGACCTTAATTGTAGATCGTACAAAGAGCAACAAAAAAGTATTCCATAAAAATTTTCGTATCTCGACGGGGAACCGAGTTATGATAAAAAAACTGAGTTTAACCCTTTTTTCAAGATGGCGGAAAACCCACAAGGTTTTTTTGGTCGACAATTTGAACTTAAGCTTTTCTAGCCACCCCCCACGTAATATCCAAAATTTGGCTTTCTCGGTTCATTTGCATTTCCAAATGTATATAATGACTGGACTAATACACTTGGTCAAGGTGCAAGGTGGAATATCAATTTATTTAAAATATCTTTAGATTAATAAATGAAACAGTTGGATGCTTAAAATAAGATTGTATTAAGTAGGTAATACAAATTGAAATTGATTATTAAATATACAACTATTGTTTTTATAAGCATCAGTTATATACTCAATAACGCAAGTTGTGTATTGGCTTAAAAATAACATTTGAATGAATGTAGAAAAATTATAACCAAAACTTAATGTCCTTATTTACAAATTCTATTAAAAGTTAAAAATAAACATTAGAGCTATGAGTTATCTACATCAAAATTAAATTTAAATGCAGAGTCTGAAAATGAAAACTTAAATTTAGAATTATTAGGAATATCTTTTTGTGTACTGCATTCATTATTAAGCTGAGAATCTGTATTAACTTGATTATTAGCAGTATCTGTTTGTAACTCTTTATTGTCTAATTCTTCCGGTGCTAAATTAAAATTGAATCGGAATGAACTATCCCCTGTTGTTAGGAATGCTGATTTCCTAAAAAATGTTGCTTTGGGCTTGTCAGGAACTTCAGCAATTTTTATTTTACTTGCCACTGAAAAAAGAATAATCATGAATAATGCAAGGTCAAATAATTCAATTATCATGAAATATTTCTAATGTTTAAGAAATAAACACACTTTTAGCTAATTTTTTCTCCTCAGCTGCCATTTTAGCTCTGTAATCTCCAAAGTGAGTCCTCATTAACTGTCGTTTCCTTATTATAGGTTGGTTATTGTTCTTTAGAACTGTCAATACCTTCCATGCTTCTTGTACTGAAAGTAGATATTTTTTATTATATTTTATTTATTCAAACTTTATTGCTACACCTAAGCAACATTAATTCAAACAAATTTTAATGAAATTTAACTAGGTTTTTTACCTACAGAAAAAAATACTGCAAAAAATATAACTCAACCTAGGTATCGGGTATCAGTAAAGAAATGGTATTGCCTTGCCTTGCCTTGTGTGGGATGTACCAAAATTAATTCGACACGTTCATTAAAGTCTCAGTAGTATAATGATTAGTGCATTTGTTCAAATAACAAAGTTTGTTGGATTGATTTCTGACTGACCAAGGCAAAGTTGAATTATTTATGCGAACTAAATAATTTACTTCATAATATAAAGTTAACGTTAAATTTAAAATTATAATAGATATTTTACCACATAAATATTTACTGAAACAAGAGCGTGTTTACATAACCTTCAAAGTATACAAACACACATCGCGTAATTTTTCAATTACTTACTATAAAATAACTTAGTGAACTCGAAACTCACATTGTTTTTCATTTCCCTTTTTCTCATTTAATGAACGTTCTAATTGCTGAATACACCAGCAGAGTTCCAGTTGGAACTGGCGCATAGACTCTTCGGGATCTGCGTTCTCTGTGTTGTTAGTTTCGACTTTGTGAAGTTTTTGTAAAGAGTTAGGTTTCCCTTTTTGATGTAATTTGGTTACTCTGGGCATATTTGTCGAGTTTTCTTAAAAAAAAAGACAGATTTTCAACTTCTAGATGACTTGAATTTATGTTTTTTAGAACAGCTGATAGTTGTCTATTAGACGTTCTCTTTAATCTGTGAATGACAATACAGACTACATAAATACGAGGTGCATGGACATACTAAGGTACGTTACGTACGTTCATGACGAGATGGCATGCCAATCCTTTATCAAAACATGCCAAAATAGAAACCCAATTGAATTTCGGACCTTCACTAATCATAATGATAAGCCCATTCGATATTCTATGGACGTGTACAGTAAAGTTAATTTTATTTCTGAGTTAAACGGAAACAGCCCAGAACAAAAAAAAAAAGGATCATGCCAGAATCCATACCAATGCTAACCAAGCAAGCAATCTGCACTCACCATTACAATACTGCCATATCCACCCATTCGTATAATATTTTTTGTTCGGTTGTTGCACTTGCAGTTGTTCAACTTGATCGACTTCCTGTAACATGACGTAATGTGCGGCTGTCATTGAATTGAAATAACCTCAAAACTTAAAATACCTACAAAAATAGGTTATTTTATTAACTTTTTACAAGTTATGCCGCTTGGAAGATTCGGAAAAATAACACTTTCGTGGTAATTACTTGACTAATAATCTACCTCGTAAACCAATTAATTTGGGGGTGAGCTTTTAAAACATATTCTGTCTTTGCTTTTTACAAGTATTCCTGTTCATTCTAGAGGATTTTATGAATAAGCTATTTTTAATATTTTTCAGAATCATGTGTCTATTGTATTATTATTACAAAGTTATATGTCAGTCAGTTTTATCTATGAAGTTTTGTGTCATTTTTCCAAAAAGAATCATCTTGCTTGACTCCCTATACTTACAGCAGAATTCCATCATAAAACCTATATATTATAGTATATTAGAGGTAATTAAACTGTTGATTGTATATAAATTTCTGTAGATTTCATTAAGTTTGGTGTATTTACATTTCAGGGTGGTAGTAACAGTCACCAGTTTATCCCTTTTTGTTGCGTCCAAAAACTATGTAAATACTCGTCGTGTGGAGAATATGAAAGCTAGAGAGCGCATGCGAAGGTCTAACGAAGGTCTCTACGCAGATACCTACAGAAAGTGAAATAATCAGTGTGAGTGTAAATCCTCCCTTTTAATTAATATTTTTTTCATATGGAGCCTTGCCATACAAAGTATAGAATTTCTTGTGCAAGTGGATAGCGCGTTCGGCTGCTATAGTTGCAGTTAAGCATCTTTCGCAATGGTCGATCTTTGGATGGGTGACCAAAAATTTACCATCTCGAGCTTCTCCTTACTTTGGAAAGGTATAGTAAGCTGTTGGTCCTGGCTGCTTCTGTAGTTGTATACCTACAGAAAGTGAAGTTATCAGTGTGAGTGTAAATCCTCCCTTTTAAATAATATTTTTTTCACATGGAGACTTGCCATATAAAGTATAGAATTTCTTGTGCAAGTGGATAGCGTGTTCTGCTGCTATAGTTGAAGTTAAGCATCTTTCGCAATGGTCGGTCTTTGGATGGGTGACCAAAAATTTACCATCTTGAGCTTCTCCATACTTTGGGAAGGTATAGTAAGCCGTTGGTCCCGTCTGCTTCTGTAGTTGTTAGCACACACCAATCCGCATTGGGCCTGCATAGTGTGTCATGACCCAGTCTCCCTATTCCATCCATAAGGAAGAACTGTGCCCCAGCAGTGGGGACATTAATAGGCTGATGAGGAATGAATGAATCACTAATAAATAAATATAATGAATTACTGTAAGGCAGCATTCCTAAGTAGTCTCCAGTTCTCTACATGTACCTGGTAGAGAACTGGAGACTACTTAGGAATGCTGCCTTACAGTAATTCATTATATTTTTCCTAATAATAAAATATTTGAGAAAACTTTCTGACCTTAATGAAATTTTCTCTAATATAAGGCTACCTGTCATAGGTTTTATTAAGAATATGAATCAATACTGTGTATAGGAATAAGATTTGTGAGTTAGAATTATCACATTTTTGTTTTCCTTTTATAGGTGGTGAAAGCTACTGAACTATCTTTATAGTTTGAGACAATTGAGAAATCATCTAACAAGAATTAAAAATGGCTGTACCACAATTGGACCCTGCAAAGCTGCAACTGGTTCAGGAGTTGGAGATAGAGATGATGTCTGACATGTACAACCGTCTTGTGGGCGCCTGCCACCGGAAGTGCATTCCTGTGAAATACCATGAACCTGAACTTGGTAAGTAACAATATCAGACATATGATTAGAATAACAAATAACCATCATTATGGGAGGTTAAGTAGATTTTTGTATTTTTATTTGAGACAAATATTGTGGCACAGATCTGATTTCCAAATGTACTCTCTTGAGTGCAACTTTTTACCCTGGTGTTTCAATTAGCCCAGGTATTCTCATGAGACCCCGCTGATAGGAGAATGAGCTCAGCTCCACAAGGTGATACTAATATTGATTCAATACTACTTAAATACCTGTTAAAAGAAACATTAACTAATAATGTGGGTGTCAGTTTCTTAGGATTCTGCACCAACATTCCACACATTGGCCAACACTATTGTTCAATGATAAAAAAACTAACATTTCCTTCGAAACGTGAAAGCTTTCATTTTTCATCACCCATTCAAGAGCAGACTTTTAAAAATGTCTTTGCAGATATGCAATAAAAGTATTGAAATTAAAACCTTACCTTACTGTCACTGGGTAAAGATAGTGTGATGAAGTAAATCATGGCGGTGTAGTAAACTATAACCTACCTACCTACTGCTAACTTTACAGCCACAATAAAGTTTGAATCACCTAAGTATGGTATCTAATACTTCAAATTTCTGTGTTTTTGTTGCAGGAAAAGGTGAATCTGTCTGCCTTGACCGTTGTGTTGCGAAATACCTTGATGTCCATGAACGCATCGGAAAGAAACTCTCTAACATGTCACAAGGGGACACAGAGGACCTTACCAAAATTAACTTACCAGAAAAGAAATAGTTTTAATTGACTTGCTATGAATTGTCTATGTTGATTGGCTGATATTTATTTATATCCTTATATGGTCATAGCACGTTATACAGGCAGTTAAACTTAAAATTTCACTAACAAACTACCTTTCTATAAGCTGATTTGCACCTGTCTTTAGACAAAATCTCTGTAAATTGTGGTAGCTTATAGGGAGTGTCGTCTTTTTTTAAACGTAGTGATTGTTTGATTTCTGTGATAGCAACTAAAATAACATCAAAACTTAAAATAGCTATAAACGTTAGTAGTTTATTTAACTTTTAACAAGTTATGCAACTTGGAAAATTTGGAGAAATAACACTTCTGTGGTAATGAGAGTTTTCTGGAATCACGGGCACGAGGTGGCAGCACTGGGACGAAAGGTTACTCATCCGTCAAACCACGTATGTCATAGTCTATGGATCAATTTCAATGCTCATTCGATTGATTCACCCCAAAAACTTCATACAGACCTCTTGTCACAGTGGCGCCAACTGGTGACGTAAACTTTCCTATACACCCTCATTATTTTGCAGCTCGTGCTTTGACCAATAATCTGTATGCAATTAAAATTGAAGTTTACCAAAATATATTAATAATGCAAGAAATCTATGTATAAATTTATATTAGATCTCCAATCATATTCATAGATGTTGATTTATTGCAAATAGAAAAAGCTAAAATTTTAGACAGTTACGAAGTTCAATATTGAAAAGTGGTCCCCTTTTTGTTATGTCTTTTATGTGCATTTCTTTTGAGTATGAGTGATTTATTTAGTTAAATAATTTAGTGTTGAGTAGTTATAAAATTGTTATAAATAAAACAAGTGCTAGATAATATTTTTCGTTTATTTCCAATCTAACCTATCTATATAAAACAAAATCTAGAATTCTAATTCTATTATTTATATATCACTACTCAGATTTGGTGCGTTTGTTAATACAGGCTATTTTTCCAAATCCAAAATCTGGAGTGTAGCATCTAACTAATTCACTCAACACAAAAATATTAGCACAAAAGAAGATTATGCTCATGAGCCACAGTAGTATAAATACCTCCCTACATTGAAACTCTAATAGATAAGCGTAGAATAACCACGAACACTGAGCAGATATCCAAATGGTCGCAAGAATCAACGCCTTAGCCGGTATCAGCCGAAAACTGTGAACAACCAAAGGCAAAAGGGACAAAAACCAAATAAAGTATTGTGACGTAATCACGCTATTGAACGCAACCATAATCACCGCCTGCGAAAACAATGCGAAGCTCAAAGTCTTGGGGTCACAACCGAATGTCAAACTTAGCACGAACAAAACAATACACTCGCACGCCTGCGAGATGGCCTTCACTATGTCGAACGAAAGATGGTCCATTGTCAAGTAAGAATAGTAGAACAACACCGAGAAATTGTGTCTGGTATCTTTCCTGAAAAAGTGATAAATGTACGTCTCGAAAAGGAATTCGTATCCGTACAAGAAATACATGCTGTACGTGAGCAGAGACAAAGTGGAGATGCAACTGAGCGCCAACACAATTTGCTTCTTATTCGGGCACAATGACAATATACCATCTGTAATAGTCGTTCTACGGTTGATCTTATATTCGCCGAGAGAAAGATACATTGGGAAGCTGAAAGCTAAAGGATACAGCCGCAAATGAATGGAGATGCCCAGTAAAACACCAGAAACGATGTACTTCCATAACCCTGCCACTAAGTCGGTTTGCAAATAGAGTATGGACAATATTATAAAAAAGCAAGGCATCGAATCGGCGTTTCCTCTAGTCGAGATGCAAATACCCAAAGGGTTGTAAATCCAGAATAATGAACAGTAAATTGCCACTTTGGATGCGCGATCCTCTGCAGTCGATCGCAACTGATGTTCGACCAACACCTTGACCGCTAAAGAGACCAAAATGTCGAAAAAGGAAAACAGTATTTTACCAAAATTTCTGCTGACTAGTATATTAGGCACCATGAGGTAAGCTACTATGGGACTGTATCGATACGTGTGGCGTTTGTAAGGCGAATTTCCAGCGAGAACATGTCTCGCCGCGTCAGTAAACACTTTGTAATCGATGTCAGTGTAGGGCACATCATAAGTCCTATCATGAATATCTCCATACACTATCAGAATAAATCTTACGACCACTCCAGCGATCAGATGGTATTTGAACGGCAAATTGAGAAAGTTGAGAAATCGCTCCATGATGATGCTTTCTCAAATCCTGGTTTTCATATTCTTAGCGGCTGATTGCAAACACGAGTTGAACTCCTGAAACTCTTTAGCACAATCGTCCTTTTTCACAGCGTCCTCCTTTAGAAGCACACACCGAGCGTACAGAACACCCTGTTTTGTACACTTTCCAAATACGAGGGGGTATTTCGCGAATCTTTCTCGAGCTTTTGCGACGGAGTCCATTTCAATTTTCCACGTTCTAGTTAGAAGTTCTTCTTCGTGACAGTGTAGTCGGCGGTTCGGTATAATCCACTAACTCCTGCTGTCTGAAGAAGGAGTCGTATATCGGTTTGGATAAGAAAATTCCAAGGAAAGTTAAGGTAGCAGTGATTTGGAAAGTTCTTGGGTACCTATACATCCAACTCCTTTTACCAAGTGGTTGGATGCGACGACGATTTTCCATAATTGACTGAAACAAAAATATTATGTATATTTTTTTTAAATTGCAGACAATTTAATTTAAGGACAGATCCCTTAATGACTATTATCCCTGTAAATGAAAAAAATAATATGCAAAAATAGACCCATTGAATAAAAAGTACACTTTATTCCCTGGATGGAGACAAAAGAGAATTTTTTATCCCGATAAAATTTTAGGTTCCTGAGAGATTCTTAAAAAAGTAAAGTTAACGCGGAAGTCGCGGGCGGCCGCTAGTTCCACATATAGGGAATGCCTGTGTATCTGCAGTGGGGACATAGTAAGCTGATGATTCTAGACCTAAATTGTATCCTTGTCATTCTCTATACAAAATCAAGAGGAGACTGATGTTAAATTTAAAGTATCATGTCATAATCGAAACCAGTACTTACCTAATTTCTGGCCGGTCTGTCAGTGACCGGAGCGAACTTCCTGGGTTCTAGGTCGTACCCGTCGCAGACGAGGGAGCCAGACGCCTTGAACTTGATGCAGCACTGGCGCATCGCCTCAAACACGCGGTCGCAACGCACCTCTTGGAAGCTGTTCTCTATATAATCAAGACAGGAATTAAACTTCATTTATCTGGTGGAATGGTTTAACGCGGTAGAGTTTGCCCCTATGAGAAAGGAACAACTTGGTGCAGAAATCTTTTGTCGAAATCCGTGGTTCGTACACCGGTTTCGCTGGATCGACCCGTGATCGCTGATTATCAAGAAACTAAGATTTCTATATCTAATACTGTTTAGGAGTTTATTTAGATTATCTAAGGTAATTTTTATGAGAGGTTAGGGCACAGTGGATTTTCCGCGAATAGGAGCGCCCGTCTGGGGAAGCAACCTCCATATTACAAAAGACCACTGTAAAATAACACTAACTTTTGGTGGTGTTGTGTTTTCGCTGGTGAGTAGCGTTCTAGGGCTCCGCGGGTAGGGGATTGGGTTCAGGTCGGCAAGGTGATGATGGCTGGAGCAGCACACCTGCCGCATCATCTATCGTCGCAACTGGAATCCACTTACACTTAACAACAGGTGGTGTGGGATCATTTGTTTCAGTATAAAAAAAATAGCTTGGATACCTGCGTCGTTTCTGGTTTCCTTCAGTAAAACAAGTACTTCGACTACTATCTTTGGGATTAGAGGCAATTTATTGAACCAAATAAAGAGTCAAACTGTAACGTACTGAACTGATTTCATGATACTTCTCTCTGTAGCTTAGGGTAGACATGTCAGATAATGTTTCAAGCGCAGAAAACGTGGTTCCAATTCCAAGGTAAATTTGGCGATTCATTCATTATTTTTGCGAAACTGTCGGCAGGATCTGATGTCATTTACGTAAGTATCTTATGATAAATAACTTCTATTATTAACAGATAAATTAAAATAGACTGTCGTTTAAGAAAACAAGAGAGGTGACATTGGAACTTATCTATTACATAAGTACATGTACTTTATAGATAATTCATTATGTATTATGAAAAGTAAAACAGTAAGAACACACTATAGTTGTAAACCTAATGTATCACTCAATATAGATAGATCAATCACTGCGTATATTAATAATTACCTAACCAATGATTCCCTAAATAATATTACCAATCAGCGTTGCCAGTCCTCCCGATTTTGAATGCCGCTCTTTTTATTCAAAAAGTTTCAAAATCCCCGTGTGTCCGAAAAAAATTTTGGCATCGCTGCAGCGCTGTTACCACCAAGGTAGTAGAATTTAATGCTCTGCGGTTTTCATGGGGTTATTACACCAAAAGGTGTATTTATTCCTGAGATTTATATCCATGGAATAAGGGAAACCTTATTTCAAATACTCCTTTCTTCAAAGTGCAACAACTAAAAAAGTATATTATAATTTAAGTCAAGAGGTAGGATTATAAATAATTAACGGATTTTCCATTCGAATCGGAGCGCCTGTCTGGGAAAGCTACCTCCAGCGTTCGATCAACAATTCTATAGATTACGTGTTCTCTCTGAAAGTAAGATACTCCGACGGAAACATTGCTGAACTATTTGGACTTAAGATTAGATATCTTCAGTGATGGCTCACTCAGGATTTGGCCAATATCCGGTGTTAGTGTCCAAAATTTCTTTATTTTTGCAACATTTGAACGCACATTGTGTCATCGTGGCGCGTGTTTACATTAGCTGTGTATTAACCGAGCTAATTGAAAATAATATCGCTGGCCTCAAGTAAGGCTATATTATTATTTACCAAGACGAATTTTACACGCTGACCCGTTATCTATAGTATTGTTGATCGAAGCCTCCACCTCACAGAAAACCACAGCAAAAGAACACTACGTCTGACTACTTTGACTGCTAGAATCAAATTTTGACTTTTATTAGCAGTAGTGAAAATAAACCTCTGAATAAGAAATAAACGTCAAACGGCGCTTACATCGATATACTTTATCTTTATTTTCAGATTTTAGTTTATTCACTATGAAACAACCTAGCAGATCTGATCTTTCTACTAACGGTCTTTTTCCGAGTACCAAGCCGCAATTTTAGAAAATTTACAACTCATTAGCTGTTTCTAGATATCATCAGCTGCTTCTGACTTAGCAGTACAACAAACAAACGTTAGATGGCACTCAATAGTTTATCCGTGGTCTGTGCCGTGGTTCAAATCTTCATTTCACCAACAATTTTTATTATTTATTTGTTATTTTTCTTAGGGTTTTTTTTTATCAAAATATTTATTTATTCACAAAAAAATAATAGTAAAGCATACATCACTTGCTTTCGATCGTCGCATTGTTGCTAATTTCAAAAAACCGTCAGTACGAACACACAAAATTAATTGCCTTTTTTATTTTCTTTCTATCAATATATAAATTTATACGTTTGTCAAAACGACGATAAAAAGTCCTCACTTTATTATAAATATAAAAAAACCAGAGCTGTACTAATAAACTACCTATGAGTCGCGACACGAAACTAGCGCTGACCGTTATTGCGCAGAAGTAAATTAAGATGTCTTAGGGGGAAACGAGGTGCGCCGGCGTGCGTTGCGTCGATTGGTTCTCCAGTCGTACCCATGCGCATCCCATGCTATCCCCTCTGTGTTTTTGTTCAGCGCTAGAGTTTCGTGCCGCGATCTGTACTTACCATACGTTTGATATTGAACTATTCAGGTATTGTAATAATTATGCCGGGCAAACTTAAATATTCATAAATAATGTTCCAAAACTTAATAATAGCGCTGGTAAATAAACATTGGCCGAGCTCAGGATCGAATCACCGATCTTTTGGTATCAACCGTAAGGTCGATTTCGTTCGGCTATCCGTCTCTTGCGGCGTATTAGAAAATTACGGATACCTACCTTCTGTCAAATACTCTACTTCCGCTTCATCGAATCTCAACGAAGTCACAACGACGCTAAAATTTTCACTTCAAAAAAACCTTATATTTAGCCTACCTATCTTTTCCAACAGGAGTAGCGCTTTTGTGCTTTTGGTATTAGTTCAAAACTGCTACATCAGCTATCTTCGCGTCTGAACTCTACCACCACTTAACCTCTGGTGAAGTCATTTGCTTGCTATTGCTACGGTAGGTACGTCTAGGTCTGTACATCACGCTCGAAGGACCATTTAGAGAAACAGTACTTCTATAGTTGACATGATTATGTAAAATTTCATCATAACCGGTCAGCGTTTTAGCGTCATAGTATACTTATCAACCCCGAAAAGGGATCGATGCCTTTCCGCTTGCCGTCAAACAGGCGTACACCTTACGTAAGCATGTAACGTAAGCGGATGAGCAGCTCCAGTACGTTTAGATTGGTTATGGCTAGGCGACGCCGCGCTTACGGCTCGCCGACCGCTGGTTGACGGCTAGAAACGGCTAGGCGGCGGAAAAAGTAACCACTCCGTTTTGAGTTGGCACTTCCTTACCGTTTAAAACGGAGTTTCGACAGCACGTTTGGTAACGCAGGCCGTGGGAGGAGCGCGAACGAAGAGACGTAAGCTAGTGTACGGAGAGTTGACCACGCACGTTCGAAAGCTTATCCCGAGGGCGCGGGGCGATTACTTTAAGATTCAGATTGCTGTGCGTTACATTGCACTGGGGCTTTTCATACAAATAATACTAAACGGCTCGAGTTGATAAGGTGACGATCCCTTACAGAGTTGATATGTCTGCAAAGATCATTAGGTGCAAAAGACTGTTGGCGTTAAGAAAGTTGACATACGAATAACTTTACTATAAGCAAAGACATTAAAACATGATAATGAGTCATAATTAGCACCTTTCAAAGCCTATTTACGTTGTTCATCGAAACAAACGAGTGGTAGATATTAAACCAAATTGTAATCTAAAACGATGCAGTGGAACGAATGTACATATCTAGATATATATAATTTACTCAAATAGATCTTTAGGGAATTCCTAATTTATCCTTATTGTAATCTAAAATTACAAGTTTATTTATTATTCATGAAGGTTTCTAAGAATATTTTTAATTTAGGTGTTTATTATTTTTTAATCACTCGGTAAGTATCAGTATGTACCAATAGCCGCTGGTAGTTACCCAAAATTAACACTTTTCCAACTGAGTAGATATTATAGATTTGATAACAAGCATAAAAGGCTCTCATTATGCTTGTTATCAAATCTACACAATCTACTGAGAAAATCATGGTAGTTTGTGGTAACTTGACGCGCGGCTGCCTGTACATGCGAAAAAGGTTACAGGCAATTTCATACACATCACATAAATAATAAGGTTACATCATTTGTGTTATGTGTATGAAATTAACAAACAAATGTTATTTCCATCCACTGGCTGGACTACCACCATCATCAGCCTATTAATGTCCGCAACTGCTGGGGCACAGGCCTTACCCTATGGATGGAATAGGGAGATTGGGTCGTGCTCCACCACGCGGGCCCAGTGCGGATTGGTGAATTCTAACGACTGCAGATGCTGCCGACGCCAACGGTTTAACGTGCACGGAGGGGCTTTTTCGCAAGAAATTTTTGGTCACCTATCCAATGACCGACCACTGCGAAAGTTGCTTGACTTCAACAATCGCAGCTGAACGCGCTTACCATCGCCATCGAGCTCCTCTAATATACACTACACACACACTGGATATGCTTCGCTAATTGGCCGAATTTTTATATAATTACAGAATGCAGCTCTGATTAAATATAAATAGCTGTCATTACATAAAAACGTTAATTAGGTATCCCGAAAACTGGAACTTGTTTGAATTGTGTATTTTCATCGTTCACTAATCAAAACGGCTAGGCGGCTTTCCAAATAAATGGACAAAGTTCCGGAACACGATCAGTTCTGGCCAGGCATTTTACCGATAACGGCGCAGCGGTGTCGCGCTCACAACCGATAAACGGGAATTTGATAAAAATCCATAGGCTTTTAGGTCACATCTTATAAAAATATCTCAATGAAATTCTATGTTAGCAATTTATACATATATTTTATTAACAATATGATATAATCGACATGCGCTCTTAATCTCATTACAAAAAGATATTATACAGTAAGATACTAAAATCAAACAATTTTAAGATAATACAGTATATAACAGAATAATGCTTTTAATAACATGGACTTTCTCCTAATTTACATAAAATAATCAAATAATATAACCATTTACGAGCTGACTGTTGATGGAATCGGCAATCACATTTTAAGCTTTATTATAACTAAACGAATTGCTTTAGGCATTTTGTAAAATATATTCCACGGCCTAAACTTTAATATACCGCAGTCAGCAGACTCTTATAAAACCTAGAACACTATAAGTAATATATATTTCATAATTACACCTTTAATATACTTTTTACAGACAATTGTTTCAAAAGATTCATTTCAATAATCAATGAAATTAAACAGTGAGATGATTCCATGTGTTCACCTGATCAAAGCTATGATATAATATGCATATCAATAAGTTTGTAGTCGAATTTATTGTTTCCTAATATTCCAACAAAGGTTCAATTGATATGAACTGCATGTGACAGTTTAAATTGAAACAAATTGCTTTAGGTACAATGTAAAATGTGTTTATATATATTTCTTTTACACTGCGATGATATGTTCAATATGAAAACAATGTTTACTTGTTAGACTACATAAGGTGTGGCTTATACCATTATGTAGGTAGATGATCAATTGAATCATTATAAGCCCACTTATAAGCAGATGTAACAATACTTCCATTTAACAGCACACAAAGCATGTTCAAAATGTTAAATTAATAAGTTATAACTTAGGCATATGTAACAAAGATACTTGTTTATATTTTTTTTTGACAATTCTTACAGACTTTACAATTTTAAAATAAGTTGAACAGTTTACACAAGTCAGACAATCATTATTACGACTGCGAAGGACACTTCAAATTCGGCCTTTGATTGCACAACCTAAGCAATGACAGGTGTTACGGATCACCAGTTATTATTTTATTGTTTCAGAATTTGATTTAGTTATGCAGGTTAGGGTTTCATACTTTTAATAAATTATAATATCATGTATTCTAGATATTGTTACTTTATAATTAATATACATTTATAACAATATCCAAAACTACAATACATCACAAATTCATAGATTTCATTTTTGATGATCCAATATTTTTTTCAATACCTATGTCATAACATTTACAAAAATTTTGATACCTATTGAACAAAATAATTGCAGATTATTTGTAGTTATATAATTATGAAATGTCCACCATGAAATTAGTATTGTTTATGTAATGGCAAATAATAATACCTATGACACTGTATGTATTAAACCTTACAAGAGATTTGCTCATCACCATTATTTATATTGCATTATAAGTATTTGACTAATTCCATAAATATTATGTTTCCTAAATCTTTTAGATAATAAATAACATTTTTATAAGCATGCTAAATTGAGAAATAATAAAACAGGAAAATCTAATACATATATGGGCTCAGATAGAGATGAAAAAAATAAACATTCACAATAATATCTCATACAGATTTAAATATAATGACCACCATTGAGATAAAAACTTAAAACACAAGATAAAACCAGCGATAGCAGTCAATTATTTCAATAGACCAGTAATCTAAAAAACATTGTTGTATTACATTGCCTGGGTTAGGACTAATTATAAGTTGACAATAAATATCCTCGTGAAAATTCTATGAGTGGAATAATAAAATAAGAACTGTTTGAAAGTATTGTTGTTAAGTATAACAACACTCAGTGCACCACTATTAAGCAGCTAGATTTGTGTTAAATGCAGTCAGAGATTAGGGTTAATTATTAATTAATCAAACCAACAGTTGATTGACTCCAAATAATATTTGACTATGAGTTAGACATTACATAATAATCACAATAACAACTGCACTTCATTTAATGAAGTATTATCATTATTATTGCATTTTTAATTATCTCTATTTGCACACAATTCACAATTATGAATGCTCTTCTTTGTAATATAGCTAAAGAAGTTTCAAATAATTTTGATATAAGATGCAGCAACATTATTTATGTTTGTGTATATCTTGCCATGTCCATGTTAAATTTTAGATTAGTTAAAAATCCAATATGGAAACAGCAGTTTCACACTCTATTATATAAATAACAATTTGATTTATTGATGTAGGATTTGCTTGTCCTCTAAACAATTGTTTTCAAATATGAAAACATACAGTTCATTTCGTCGGCAGTTGTCAAGTCCACCGAACATATACACATCGGCTATTGACTTGGATTGGCTTCCACACTTTCTGGTCGGCTGAGAACAGGCTTATCTGCAATTTGTGGTTTCTCTGCAACCTGAGGTTTCTCTGCCATTTGTGGTTTTTCTGCAACTTGAGGTTTTTCTGCAACTTCTGGTTTCTCTGCAATTTGTGGTTTCTCTGCAATTTGTGGTTTCTCTGTAACCTGTGGTTTCTCAGCTACTGAAGATTTTTCAGCAACCGGTGGGTTTTCAATCACGACTGGTTTCTCTAAAGGTTTAACAGCTGCAACAGGGACTTCAGGCTCACTGTTCTCAATGTATGTATTTGATAGTTTATTAGTTATTATCTCAGATTTGTCCTGTTCCATTTCTGTTGGTCCATTATGTTTTTCACCATCTAACATTGATGGTGACACTGATCTCTGTAACATATTCTCAGGGTGGGCAGGTGAAATACCTCTTGCTGAATTTTCTTCACTAGAAGCACTCATTTGTCTCGGAGTTGTGTGGCTTGGATGTGACAATGTTTGAGGATGATGTGGATTATGTAATGGTAATCTAGACTTGTCACTCTTTCTCCATAGTGTGACTTCTTGCTGTTTGAAGTAACGCCGGTCCTCGGTGTCCATTAAGACAAGATTTAGGTAATACCTCACAGAGAATTTATTATTGATATCTCTCATAGTAGGTGTTAGGTCATAACCTGCTAAGAAAACTCTAATAGGAATGCTTTCACCTCGAACTGGAGCACCGTCCATTATTTCATATTTTGCAACAGTTTCATTCTCTGTAAAAGTATTAGGCCCCGAACCGGTAGTTTCTCTTTTGATAATAGAGATTTCCATATGTTTAATTTTTATACGGACAAGTAGAAAATATATTTTACCCACTATGACATCCTTCAAGTGGTATTTTGATTTATTGTACTCAAATTCTATGTGGAGGCAGTCTTCAATGCCTACTTCCATTTTTATAGAGTTTAACACGTCTGGATAGCTGCATAGCGTGTGAACGGCAATATCGACTTCCTTCACTATGTCTGTCAGTCGGCGAACGATAGTAGCTCTCAAGAAATACCTTAGCCTGACATTTGCTCCTGTGTACACTTCATAGGGTTTCTCCACATTAGAGAATTCGAACGGATAAGATGTATGCTGCAACAAGTCACCAGGTCGAGCCAGCTCCTTCACTAATGATATGAATTCATGATGATTACCTCTGTCGTAAAACAATTCGATTTGACCTATTAGCTCGACCTTGATTCCCTGGTGTTCTAGTTTCGATCCTGGTTTCCTCAAGGTTACGTTCACTCTCCCAGAGACAGTTTCGCCATCGTAATACAATAACAACTTCTCCTTTTTACCATCATCCGTTTTTACTTCGGCGACCTTCCGCTTGTCAGCATCATCGAAAACGATTTCGATATCCGCGGTTTGGCCGAACCCGAAAAAGCTCATTTTCACACTTATCTGTTACGCAACACTCCCGAAACTTTTTACTTCGATTTAGTAAAGAAAAATAACGTTTTGTTTGAGCAAAACATTGAAAATCGGCGATGAAACGCCCGCGAATTCGTGAAGTGATTGAAAGATTGAAGTAAAGATGGCGACTGATTTTATGTCGGCTGTCGGCTAAGATATTTGTAAATAAAATTTTGATGTAAATACTCACCAACAAGACATCTCTGGATTTCGCAGGCAAATCTTTTACAAGGGTCCTTCGACATAAATAATAAAATCTAAAATATAGTGAAGATATTTTTTATTTATAAATCCTGATTTTTGATCATGCGTGTGTAACAATTTTTTATGTGGCAATTATTTTCTCAATAACAATAATGCCAACTTTAATAATGAAAAAAAATACATGGTAAAAAATAGAAACAATGGTATAGAAGCAAATGGGAAGACCATTTCAGCGGCAAGTACAACTATCATCCTAATAAACACGAATACATGTTACCACATTCTAATGAAAAATATGATAAAGAAATGACGAGGCTGTATAAAGTTAGTATCATTTGTCTTCCCCTTAGTAAAATCATAGACATATACCAATATAAATACTACTCTTTGACATATACCCCTTATTAATAAACCAAGAATAGACTAGTTAAGCCGTGTTTTGTTCATATCACACAAATGCCATTTGTCATTCAATAAACAGAGACAAAACATGGAGTAATTAATCCAAGAGTAGTCTCCGTTTATTAATAAGGGGAATAGAATAGAATTTAGGCGCCTGTTCACGGCAGGCCGCTCTGCCGTCCGTCGTTATAAACCCTTTAGCAAATAACTATACGAATATGAACAGGGACCGCACTACGCTGGCTGTGACCCTATGTACAGTTATTGGAGTTTAGGACGGACGAAACCCCGGTCTTCTGCGCTGCCGACGAGATGGCCCTGGAGGCGTTAAGGGCGCTAGGCGGCTCGCCGCTCGTGCTTCCGCCTCCCACCGAGCCATACGTCTGTAAGCGCCGCGCATTCGACCACCCCGTATCCCAGCTGCCGTCGCCTGTACCATCGCCTACACAGGTAAAAAGACCCCAGCCCCACGAGCGACGGCATCAACCAAGACGGATAATAGCGCCTGCCGCCATCTATCACCACCAGAATGCTGTACGGCATAGTCCTACGCCCAGAGAGCGAAAAGATCCGCGCCTACCTCACCGCTGCAGAAAAAAATACGCCCACCGCAGCCACCAGTGTAGCTCCCACAGGTCAACGGGAACGAAAATTCCCGCCGATGTGTCCGTCATGCTAGCGTACCCCATCGGGTTCAAGGTTGTTAATTAGGTACTTGACAAGTTTACTTAGATGACAAGTTGTGTTCGTCGAAGAGGCACAGGCATGTTGAGAAGTGCTTTGTAAAGTTTTTGTTTTTAATGTATAACAAAAGCTAAATCTCGCAAAGAAAGTAATAAATACATTAATTTAAAGAAAAATATGAAATGAAATAAAATTTTAGGTGAAATTAAAATAAATAACTTTATCAAAAAATAAGATTTATCCTTCTAATTTCAGTAATTTTTATCACATCATAATCATGAAAACGGTTTTACTAGTTAGCCCGTTTCGAACAGGCGCGGCCGTCTGAGTGACCGGAGTGAAGGTACGGAATAGCGGTGGGCATTTAAACGAAAAGCGCTTAAATAAGCGCGCTTAAAATATTAAGCTTGTAAGCACGCTTTTAAGTATAAGCTTTATAAGCTTATCACTTAAAAAGTGTGAGTAAGCTTTTCACTTAAAAAAGTGCAAGTATATTTTTTACTTAAAAAGTGCAAATCCCGCCATCTATGTCTTTGCCAGGAAACTACATACTTCGATCCTTCTAGTCCACTACAGTATCGTAAAATGGGTACGCGGAATTCCTTGGTACTAAATATTTCACAATATCACAGACATAGAACGCGCGACTACAGCGCCGCGTCGGCGTGCCATCTTTCGTGAGCCGGTTAATACAGAATGCGAATTATTATAATGCGACGTAAAAAAATGCACTTTTTTAAAATTTGGTCGGATAACCAACGCTTTTTTTGTTAAAAGCGTTTAATTAAACGAAGTCGAAAAGCAGTACGCTTGTCACTGTGACGGGGTAAGAGCGCGTGGGTGTTGTACGTTGTGTTTGCATGCTTGCTTGACGTGTTAATGCGTTTCGTGTATTGGTTTAATGTGCATATAAAATAGTTAAAAGTATGTATATAAAATCAATGAACTTTTAAGTACGCCTGGATCACGAGTATATTAACTCCAGACAGTCCTAAGCTTGTAAACTAAGAAGGAAAGTTCATTGACTTAAAAAAATTGATTATAAAAATGTTTATTATAAAATCTAAATTCAATTGAAAATCTTTCGTTTTTAATGCCAATCAATTCATTAGGTTTAAAAAAAAATTTAATAAAAATTTCATTAATAAGAAGAAAAAACGCAATAAAACACTTAAACACATTAAAAACGACAATAAACTTTTCACGCTTTTTTAAACGATATACCTAAACGAAAACACAACACAACGTCGCGCTTTTTACGCATGCTTTTAAACGTTTAAGCCAATAAGCGTTTAAACGAAACGACAATAAACTTTCACGCTTTTTTAAACGATATACCTAAACGAAAACACAACACAACGTCGCGCTTTTTACGCATGCTTTTAAACGTTTAAGCCAATAAGCGTTTAAACGAAAAAGCTTTTTTTCAAGCGCGCTTATTTTAAAAAGTACAACGTTTAAACGCTTTTAAGAAATAAGCCGTTTTTTCCATCTCTAGTACGGAACATGAACATACACGATCCAGACAGTCAGTGCTGCCAACATTTTAATGTTACAAAAATCTTAAATGGCGAATTACAAAATTTTCTAACAAAAGCGAAGTAGTTTTATCGTAATTTAATCGAATTAAGTTATTTTAAAATTATGGAAATCACACGTACTACTCTTGGGATTGCCGCGGGTATAGCAGGAACCTTGTTTCTCGGCTATTGTGTGTATTTCGACCAACAGCGACGGAAGGATCCTCTATTCAAGAAGAAGTTGAGAGAACGTGGGTATTTCGCTCAATAACAATAATTTATGTGTTCTTTGTGGTGTAAATGGTTTTGAGTGTAAGTTGTAACGTTGAAACTTCATTTGTGAACATATCGAACTATCCTGTCGATATTCTTATAACCTAAAAATTTCATAATAGTTACAACACGTCGAAAAGATTTGCTTCAGTAGACTGGAACAAGCAGAGAACTAAATAGAAGGAAATCATAGTCCTAATAAAGGACTTTGGTTTCTTAGCTAGGGCTTTATTAGCTTACAAAGCTGTGATAGTAGACATAGACTTTGATAATACAAAGCTTGCCAAGTGTTGGCCAATATATGCGATACATATTTAGAAGAACGAAGTTCAATGCGACCGATCTAATTACTGTTATCTTTTAAACATTTTATAACCACTAACATTAGGTTACGAGTTAGTACTCAGTGTTTTTATTTTTCTTATAATGTAACTTTACAGGTTTTTCGTTATAATGTTTTTAATTTAAGCATTTAAGGCCGTATACAGAAAGAAAGCCGAAAGCCGATCGGCGCCGATACGCGCTGGTCCGAATAATAAATAATTTGTATTTGAATTATTATCCTTAGATTAAATCAATCTAAGTTATAATCTTTTTATAAATCTAATAACTTTTATCTTTTATTAACTAAGCCCTAAAATTATTTGTTTCGTACTTACCGAATGGTGACAACAAGTCTTTCTTCTGGAAGGATTGGTTGTTTATGCCAATTGCACCAATTTTTCATCAAACGGTTTTTCACTAAATCCAAAATGTAATGTAAAAAATGTAAAATGTTTCTTGAATCCTTCTTGTATATGTATAAAATCTTTGTTCATCAAATTTAATTTTTTTTACAAATAAATGATGGTATTCTCCGAAACGTTTCCTTTCTCTATTTATAGGATGTATAGCTTTTTTTCGCATTTTTAAATACACATTTTCTAACAAAACCAGATCATCGTCCGATGAGTCCCACATTTTGCTTGATCTGCTTTAATCGGCTTCCTTTATGTAGGAAGGATCGGCGCCGATCGGCTTTCGGCTTTCTTTCTGTATACGGCCTAAATATGTGTAGCTAATGAAAGTGTTACTAGAAAAAAAAACACTGTTTAGGTTTCAGAAGTGATATATATCTATTTTAATGTTATGAAACTTAATTCCAGGTAGACAGAATGCAGTTAAAAACTCAAACCGATCAAGCACACTTGGCGGGCCTCTGCCTGATATGAATGACCACGAAGCCATGCAGCGGTTCTTCTTGCAGCAGGTATACTTTACTTAAATATAGGATTCTTTTCTGTGACATTTTGATATAAAAATATTTTAGTAATATAAGTTATTTACGGGATTGTTACCATGTACCTTGTTTTTAGCGAGTTTCCGATATTTCGGCACTGTTGCAAGCGCCATGATCACGGAGTAACTGAAGTAATTGCGGGTAGGCTGTTATTGGCAGACATATCGGTCTACCCTCCGACGAAGTCTTTTATTGCGACCCGTACCACTGTTCACATTCTCACTATTCACTCGAAACTGTTCTCGACACACAACACTTACAGTATCGGATCGCGACACGACACTTTTTTGATTATTTCCGGTTTTACACATACGAACCACAGGATTCCAGACACTCGACAATTTAAACCCGTCCTCACGATTGAAATTTTTATGTTTTGTTATTTCAATCGCTTCCCTGACCAATCTTGGTATGTAGTGGCGTTCTGTCGAGATAATCTGTGGGTTATGAAACTCAATCCAGTGGTTAGAACCAGAATTAATCAAATGTTCCGCGATGGCTGATTTCTGCGTATCGTTGTTCTTGATTGCTTTTATGTGTTCCCTCATTCGGCATGATACTGTTCGCTTTGTTTGGCCAATGTACGAACTGCCACAGCTGCAATCGATCTTATAGACACCAGGTTTCTCCAAGGGGAAGTTGTCTTTAGGAGACCGTAGGTATTGTGAAACCTTTCGCACAGGAGTGAAGACAGTGTTTAGTGAGTACTTATTCAGTATGTTTGAGATCTTGTCAGTCACTCCTTTGACGTATGGTAAATAAACAAGAAGGTGAATTACAACCCAACGGCAAGGACAGATCGTAACACTCGCTCACTCATAAAAGAATGCGCCCACGCTTTAGACGATGACATTGTCAAATATTTATTACGTCCTAGGAACATCCAGCCTCCAAAACTATATGGTCTGCCGAAAATCCATAAGCCAAATGTGCCCCTACGTCCGATCGTGAGTCAGATAGACTCACCTACATATGAACTGGCCAAGCACGTGGCAAAAGTATTGCAGCCGATAGTGGGACGAACGTCGTCGTTTGTGAAGGATTCCCGCCATTTCATAGAAATCTTGCACCAAAACAAGGTAGATGAAAATCAGTTGATGGTCAGTTTTGACGTAGAATCGCTGTTCACAAATGTACCTGTGTTGGATTGTCTGGAAGTGGTGAAGGTGAAGTTGCAAGAAAATGACATCCCGAAGGAATATGCCAAGCTGTTGCATCATTGTTTGTCGACGAATTTCTTCATATATCAGGGTCAGTACTACCTCCAAATAGATGGGGTCGCAATGGGCAGTCCCGTGGCTCCAGTGGTTGCCAATATATGGATGGAGCATTTTGAAGAAAAATCCTTTATCACCGCACCCACAGAAATAAAACTATGGAAGAGGTATGTCGATGACGTATTCTGTATATTAAGAGGTAACAAACATGATGTCGAGTCTCACTTGGCAAATTTAAATGGTATCCATTCTAAAATCAACTTTACCTATGAGATCGAAGAAGACAGAAGTCTGGCCTTTCTGGACGTGAAGATTCGGGTGAGGAATGACGGTTCGCTTGGTCATTCCATTTACCGCAAATCAACACACACTGACCGCTATCTCAACGCCTCCTCGCATCACCACCCTAAACATCTTAACTCTGTAATGACTTCACTGACGAACCGTGCATATGACCTGTGTGATGAGGAACATCTTCAAGAAGAGTTGGAGCATGTACGACGAGTCTTACAGAGTAATGGATACCAGGGACATTTTCCATCAAGACACAAACTAAGACACCAGAGACACAGAGTAGACAGACAACCTGTTTATTTACCATACGTCAAAGGAGTGACTGACAAGATCTCAAACATACTGAATAAGTACTCACTAAACACTGTCTTCACTCCTGTGCGAAAGGTTTCACAATACCTACGGTCTCCTAAAGACAACTTCCCCTTGGAGAAACCTGGTGTCTATAAGATCGATTGCAGCTGTGGCAGTTCGTACATTGGCCAAACAAAGCGAACAGTATCATGCCGAATGAGGGAACACATAAAAGCAATCAAGAACAACGATACGCAGAAATCAGCCATCGCGGAACATTTGATTAATTCTGGTTCTAACCACTGGATTGAGTTTCATAACCCACAGATTATCTCGACAGAACGCCACTACATACCAAGATTGGTCAGGGAAGCGATTGAAATAACAAAACATAAAAATTTCAATCGTGAGGACGGGTTTAAATTGTCGAGTGTCTGGAATCCTGTGGTTCGTATGTGTAAAACCGGAAATAATCAAAAAAGTGTCGTGTCGCGATCCGATACTGTAAGTGTTGTGTGTCGAGAACAGTTTCGAGTGAATAGTGAGAATGTGAACAGTGGTACGGGTCGCAATAAAAGACTTCGTCGGAGGGTAGACCGATATGTCTGCCAATAACAGCCTACCCGCAATTACTTCAGTTACTCCGTGATCATGGCGCTTGCAACAGTGCCGAAATATCGGAAACTCGCTAAAAACAAGGTACATGGTAACAATCCCGTAAATAACTTATATTACTATAATGTTAGTGACCATGAAAGTTTAAAACAATATAAAAATATTTTATTGTTACAATAATAACTTGGTTTTTACTGCTGGTCATACTTCATTTGTTTCATGTCCTGTGAAAAGAATATTTTATGGCATTTCTTAATTACTTCATGAAAGGTGGTGGTCTTTTTATAGTTTAACTTAGGATGCAACACAGTAATTTTTTTTCGCATTGCATGTATCTATTTTTTATGTTTTTACAATTTCTTATAATAATATAAGAAAACCCGGCAAGTCTCTAGTACTAACAGTCTCCAAGCAAAACCAGGGACGGACAGATGGACATGACGAAACTATAAGGGTTCCTTGTTTGGACTACGGAACCCAAAAAAGATGTGGAATGTGGTTTATTATGATATTTTTAATTTAAGCATGGAACTGCCTCAATTTAATATCTAAAAACTTCAACAAGTTTCTTTAGTAATGTAACTCAAAATCTAACTTCATATTCATTAATACTTAACTTGAAACTACACAAGCTACTATTGTGGACATTAATTGTCTGATGAGCATTATCTATCAAATGTTACACCTCCATTTCCAAGAAGGAGCCAGTTTGTTCCTATGTTTGGTATGGTTTGTTTTCATAGAAACATTGATCAATGTTATGCTTGAGCCTCAGGCTATCATTTTTCTTTCATCCATCAATTGCATATTCCTTTCCCTTTTTATAACGGAAAAGCCACATAGAGGAACTAACCTCACATCTTCCAATTACTAATATTGAATTGAATTTGAGTTACATATTATTGCTTTTCATTTGTGTACAGATTCAGCTTGGAGAGGAGCTTCTAGCAGCTGGTAACTTGGAAGCAGGTGTGGAGCACCTTGGACAGGCAGTTGCTGTCTGTGGGCAGACACAACAGTTGCTTGGAGTAAGTGTTAAAAAATCATGTTTCATTTCACAAGAGTTCTCGTGTACAATCTTAAGATTCCTCTCCCATCCTAGTCATTGTACATTTGAAGTCAAACTTACAGAAATAGCAAGTAGAGAATTTATTAAAAATTCAGCATTTGTTTTCTTAATTTTGAAATCAAAAGGACACAACTTACTATATTTGACCTTATTCTGAACCCAATAAATATAAACCTGACTTGCCTGTAACCCTAGAAGAATTGTCAGCAACATAATTATGGAAATTATCAGCCTATTTATTATAATTAGTATGACTAATTTGTACTTATTTTATTTTCAGGTTCTCCAACAAACAATGCCAGCTCCAATATTCCACCTCTTACTCAAAAAATTGCCAGAGGTGTCAGAACGTCTCCGTGCCTCCATGAAAGCTAGTGGCAATGTCTTGCAAGATGAAGATGTTGAATAAACTATATTTATGAATCTACATTCAGAATATTAAAAGCACCAGTTGTGTCATTGGCAATAATGACTCGTACAACACTGATTAATAGTTAGTTCAATAACACTGTTATAAAAGCGAATTTGTTATAATTTGGTGATTATTCTGAAATACAATATACAAAGTATAATAATTATGTTCTCAATGTTGAAGTGCAGAGTATTTTCTGTAAAGGACTCTGCTTAATTTTTAGGTTGTAACAAAATTACAATATGAAATCTTCCTACATAACTTTTTTTTCTTGTTTATTGGTCTTTTATAAGGCCAGATCGAATTGTCAATGTTTGCATTAAAGGATTTTAAGATGTGCTAGTCAAGCATCTCCATCCAGTCATCTCCATTTTTTCTATTTATTTTCCCTAATTTGCTCAAGATGATTATTTAAAAATATTTAGATAACTTTGAAAATGGTTGTTTACAGAATTTTGGAGTAGTTCGCATTGGCTGTGATAATAATGCTTGAATATACTAAAGTCTACCACTCCGAAATCCTTGCAAAGAAAACATTTTGATGATAATAATTATAATAAATAATGTAGGTATTTGTTAGTGTTATTTCTTAGGTTTTGTTTTGTGTTCACAACTGGTTAAGAATGCTTGTGAGTTTTGATTGAGATTTTATTGTGGAATAAAGGTATTGTACAAATTATTTTCAGTGTCTCATTTGGGGGGTTCAGTTTTGAGATCGGATAATTTCCAATTATGTTAATTCATACTAGCGCAGTCGTAGCGAATTTCAGAAACAGTTGCATAGAAAATTCACCAGTATCTCCGTAACGTAATGTACATATTCCTTCCGAGCTGATAATCGGCGGAATGTCTTCTTATCTCGGTAACAAGTTCATCTTTATATTGCGCTTCGTAACTTTTTTCAGTACTTAATTTGACACTTCAGTTTTGTAGTATCATTACCATTATTTATGTGTAAGTACTTTATTAATAAATGTAAAGGATATACAGTAGTCTCGCTAATCCGGACCCCCTTTACTTCGGTGCACGCTGTAATCCGGACAGGCGAGATGATCGCAGGTGGGATATATTACTGACTTTTTCAAAACCTAATTGTTACTTTTTTATTTAATGTGTAGTGCGCAAATTTCTTAGGTACTACATGTTTGAATTTTTATAAGTACATTTGTACGTCACAGGTATATATTCTTATCTTAAGTTGCCTCAAAATAATTACTTTATAAAACCCGAGTTAAAACGTGTTTTATTTCTTTTAAAAATTGCATATTATAATCTGGATGCCTCGATAATTCGGAAGGGGTCTTGTTTTTCCCTATCCGGATTAGCGAGACCTTACTGTAGTTCACAATTAAAGTAGGTAACACTCAAGCGATTGATCCTATAATATGTAGTTTTCTTAATGTTGCCATGCACGTAATCTTATCTAAGAATTAAATAAAGCAGGATATATTGTTTAAAACTTTCATGGTCACTAACACTATAGTTATTAACTGGATTGTTACCATGTACCTTGTTTTTTATGAGTTTCCGATATTTCGGCACTGTTGCAAGCGGCATGATCACGGAGTAAACTAAAGTCTCAACGCTTCTCGCATCACCACCCTAGACATCTAAACTCTGTAGTGACTTCACTGACGAACCGTGCATAAGACTTGTGTGACAAGTTGGAGTATGTACGGCGGGTCCTACAGAATAATGGATACAAGGGACAGTTTCCACCCAGACACAAATTAAGGCACCAGACACACAAAGTAGACAGGCAACCAGTATTTTTGCCATATATCAAAGGAGTGACAGACAAGATCTCAAACATACTCAATAGGTACTTACTGAATACTGCCTTCACTCCTTTACGAAAAGTATCACAGTTTCTACGATCTCCCAAAGACAACTTCCCTTTGGAGAAACCTGGTGTATATAAGATCGACTGTAGCTGTGTTAGTTCGTATATTGGCCAAACGAAGCGGACAATAGCGTGCCGAATGAAAGAACACATTAAAGAAACAATGATACGAAAAAATCAGCTATCGCGGAACATTTAATTGATTCGGGTCCTAATCACTGGATTGAGCTCCATAATCCACAAATTATCTCGACAGGACGCAACAACACTCCAAGAATGGTCGGGGAATCGATTGAAATAACCAAATACAAAAAAATCAATCGTGAGAATGGGTTTAAATTGTCAAATGTCTGGAACCCAGTGACAAAACCCGCAAAAATATAAAAAATGTCGTTCTGCGATCTGATACTGTGAGTATTGTGTGTCGCGAACAGGTGCGAGTGAAAAGTGAGAATGTGACCAGTGGTAGGGGTATCGAGCGCAGTAAAAGACGACGTCAGAGGGTAGACCGATATGTCTGCCAATAACATCTACCCGCCATTACTTCAGTTACTCCTTGATCATGGCGCTTGCAACAGTGTCGTAATATCGGACACTCATAAAAAACAAGGTACATTACATAGCAACAATCCCGTTAATAGCTATAAAGCAGGATATATCTTTAAATATTAATAAAGTAATCATATTTTAATAAATACAATTTAAAAAACTACACAAATTTCTGCAATAAAATACTTTTTTTTTCATTTTATAATGAGTTGGGCGGAGATATATTTCTCATGAATTCGTTTTTCAGCGTTTCATATTTTCGCATGTTTAATATTCTGTATTGGTAGAATTAATTAACCTCACAGGGTAAGATTTTTTGTTTAAAGCTTGCCAAAGAAACTTAGCTTTAACTACAAATTAGTAGCCGTAGATTAAATTTTGAGCACGTAAGAACTACGGCCCGGAGGGCCCACGAACTGATTGGATTTGCTTTATTTGTAGGCTACTAAACAGAGCTCAAATTTTTGTATATAGTCATACAAATTACCTTCTAAATATTACCATTCATCAAAATTATTTAAAAAGGTCAGATAAAGTAATATGAAAATTGAAAAGTAAAAGTTTCGTAATGGAGTCCACATTCTGTGAGTTGTATCCTTCGACTTACAACAGCTACAAATTTATCGTTTTGGTTAATATTTTTTAAAATGTCCTGCTAAATCTATATGTATACGAAACCTACATTTCCACTGTGGCCCCTCGCACATGTTTTTGCCGGCCTATTCACTTAGATTAAAACAAAAAGGGTAGATACGGCACTAGCCTCACAAAAGTGATCCGCATAAATTGTGGTCCACGACCCTTATCGCTTTAGTCACAACCATAGAGTACATTATATACTAGTCACAACTTGACATGCAAGCGACGTACATGTGAACGCCAAAAAGAAATATTGCTAATATTTTGTGTTTATATGATAAAACAATGCCTAAGTGTGTTTTTAAAAAGTGCTCAAATTGCTCAAGAACTAAAAATAAAACCCACGGCATCACTTTTCATTCGTAAGTACTATAAAATATATTTTTTCATAAAAATTGCTGTTTGTTTTGAATCTTATTCGGTAGTGACGTCGAGTACTGGTCGCGTGATTGGTCGGTAGTGCAGTGACGCGGATCTCGCTGTCCCGTTCGCGCTGCCGTTGAAACATAACGTGCTGTTTCGTTCGGGTCGGTAATGCAGTGACGCGGATCTCGCCGTCCCGTTCGCGCTGCCGTGGGATCAGTTTGTAGCGGTGGGTCGTTCTCAAATTTTCTGACGACGAAACGCAACCGTTTTCTCTTAAACGAAAAGTAGTCCTCGAAACGGTTCTCGTTCGCAACTGGATTTGGTTACGGCTGGGTGACGCAATGAAACGACACGCGACGGTCGAACGAATGTAACGCAACGAAACTGAACTAAATGAAATCTTGTTAACGTTCGTTTCGTTGCTGCGAACGAGACGACGAAACATCGAAATAAATGTAGTGTTATACGATAATCGATTTTAAATGTTCAATAATAGTTATATTATTGTAAAATCAAAGCTTAATTATCATAGAACGAAACGGCCTCATATCATTGCGTTCTATTATAGACTGTATTTACTTCACCATAAAGTACATATTGGCGTGCAGACAATCCGGACTAGTTGTTCGACGAAGACTGTTTTGATCCGAAACGTAAAACGGTTCTATCGTCGCGGAACACAAAACGGTCCTTGAAACCGGTTCGTCTTTAGAACGCTCACACCTAAGTTTTTGTTTGATGCAAGTATGAGCGTACCGTACCTACCCTTTTTGTTTTAAGCCTATTCGCTAACTTTTTGTGATATACCCTATTAATAAACGAAGAATAAGCTTGGATTAGTTACTCCATGTTTTGTCTCTGTTCATTGAATGACAAATGGCATACGAGTGACATGAACAAAACATGAACTAGTCTAAGTTTATACCTTATCTATAATTATAATAAAATGGTAAACCGAAAAAAAGAAGCCAAAAATATAGTTTTTAGATTTTTTTCTGTTTGTATGTCCGGAATAAACTCAAAAAGTACCTGATGGATTTACTTCAAAGTCACGAATATTATTATGAAGTCAGTTCAACATACAGGCTAAATATTATCACGCTATCACCTATGGGGAACGAGCAGTGAACCTTTATTTCTTCAACGGATTCTGTAACAACGCATTACTAACTCCACGCGTACGAAGTCGCGGGCGGTCGCTAGTTTATTAATAAGGGGGTTAGAGTGTGTAACTAAAGAGAAAATTGCATATCCATTGATGCTTTTGAGAACAAGTTTGTATTTATGCTGTATGGCACACAGTCAAAATGCAGGTGAACGAAAACAACTTGACGACTCTGTTCATAATAAAACAGACAGAAAAAAACAGCCCTTGCTGATTTTCTTGCCGGTTCTTCTCAGTACAAGGTCTCCCGCCGCCGCGCCGCGCCGTCCGCGTCGATTTACGAACCGATGGCGTAGCTTCCTGACATTGATGAGTACTTATAAAAACCTAAACGGAATAAATGATTTTGATTATGATTAAGTACCATAGTGGCGTTATAATAAAGCACTAGTGGATAATTAAATAGCTCGGTCATTATCTTTTTTTTATTATAGCCAGGTAGGCACATGACTACGCCACCTGATGTTCAGTGGTGATAAAGTCCAAACGCGAAGATAGCTGGTACAGCAGTTATAAACTGCCACACCAACCATTCTCACCTTGCCGGCCTGCAGAAATGCTTCTTCACGCTTCTTGAAGTATCCCAGATTTTAGGAAGGAACTTCCACTGTCAAACCCTGTTAGCAAATAGGCCTACTGAGCTGTTTTATGCCAAAACTCACTGGACCGCAGTTTTGCATTGCGTTTTACGTACAATTTCATATTTTACGTAGTTGCTTATGAGGAGCTGGCGAACAAAACGGTAGAATAACATAAAATTAAATTTTACAGGAGCTGTATACAACTGAATGACATAGCTCCAGTGAGCTATAAGTGTAGTGGGCATGGTTTTTAATTTATAAATTCAGTAATTTTAACAGTGTTTTAGGCGGTTTTGATTGAAAATTATTTGAGATTCAAATTCAACGGGCCCGTAACCCGTAACCTCCGGACTCCGGACAGATGCGTAATTATACCGTTTTGTTCGCCAGCTCCTCATATTATAATCGCTACGTGAGTAAACTCTCAGCCTTAAACTTTGTGAAATCAAACTAACCAGTCCCTCCACAAATTCCAACAATTTATTCAACATAAATAAACAGTGCTACCATGATAAGTACTTAAAATTGTCAAGAAAACAACTATGAAAATATCCCATAAACATAATCAATTAGTTAGGCACTATACATTGTTTAGTATAACTATACAACAATAACAGTAGATAAACATTATAATCTATAAATAAAAAAATAAACAATAATCATGACACGGATGCTGTATTTCTTATTAAATCCTGTGTCACTTTCATTACTTCTAAAGCACCTTTGTCGATGAGAGCTTCGGCCAACTCTTTACCTAAACTATCACATTTCTCTATAACATCTATGGGAATATTGGAATTTTCAATCAGACCGCAGAATATTTTGGGCTTTTGCTTCAACTCTTCGATTTCAGCTTCACTCCTTGTGTCTTCGCAGTTTAAATCACCGGTCTGTTCAGATATTCTCCTATTGTATTCTTCGACTAAATTAATCGGATGAGCATTGTTACCATCATCAGTCTTTATTTTTTTACTATCTACTTCCACGGTGGGGCTCAGTTTGTGTTTTGTATTTCTGCATATCTGTGCGAATGTTTGCTCGAGGGAATGGTCTATTTTTGTGGTTCCGTCCAAACTCCACACCGCTCCGGTTATGGATAACTTGTATGTCTCGTCCACTTTCTTCAGTCTTGTAGAAACTCCTACTGGTGCACTGCATCCACCACCTAAAATAAAGTATAATTTAAAATGAACCATTAAAGATAAGTTCTGCTATAAGGGACTATCCATCCTATAAGGTCAGTGGTTTTTAAACTTTTAGTAACGTATGACCAGTCCACCACTTAAGATTTTAACCGAAAGGGGAGCGCGGGGAGCGGGGAAGATATAACTTATGTTATATTTTTGCGAATGGTTTACATCTAGAAATTACGGCTGCACTTTAACCTCTAAAAGAAGCCAGCACATCTTTTTGAAAGTATAAAATTTCAATGACGTCTCTCGGTTAAGAATTGTGAAATGTGACGTCATGATTCATGAACTTGGGTGTCGTATTTCGTTCACCCTCCCGTCCCCTTAATGTGTGATATAGCTTTTAAAAGTTAAAAGAAAAGTAAGGCACAGTCTAATTAAACATATTATTTAACCTCAATTTTTACTGTAGGTTTAATTGCTAATATAAAATAAAAACGGTGAATTTGATCGTTATTTAAACGACTTCAGAAATAAATAATAATACTACATCATCTTAAACAACAGTTGAATACATCATCTTTCTTGACGTTCCACTTGTGTAAACACTATGGTTTGATGTCATGATACTCTCGTTTCAAGACCATTTTTCAGGACAACTATAATTAAAATAAAAAGTAAATAAAAACCGGACAAGTGCGCGTCGGACTCGCCACCGAGAGTTCCGTAGACATTTGTAGATACGCAATATGAAGGATGAGAAGAGGTACTCGGAACTCTAAAAATTAAAATCTCTACGTTTTCTATCTTAAACTAACGGTAACAGTACATTTTACGTTTTTACGGTACTGTTACTGTTAGTTTAAAAGATAGAAACGTAGAGATTTTAATTTTTAGAGTTCCGAGTACCTCTTTTCTTCCTTCATATTAATTAAACTCTAAAAAGAATTACTTCGTTATCCGTCTACTTGTCTGTCGTAGTGCCCTTTTCTGAGAAACGGTGGAGGTATCAATCTAAAATCTAGAAGTGAATCCGTGGTTTATTATCGTATCGCATGTACATCGATTATTGTGGGATTCCCCCGTTCAAGTAAATGACTTAAACGGGGAAATCCCACGGCCCGCGATAACCGAGGTGGGGTGTCGCCAACGCACGCTTAACGCAGGAAAAAAAGAAATTGCTTTTCGACTTTGTTGTCATTTCCGAAAAAAAAAATTTGGGAAGTTTTTATTAATTTTTGCTTACGCCCGTTAGGGGCCCCATATAACTGATACGGCAGATACGGCGGTAGCTACGCCACTGCTTATACATTTACCAACTAGGGTAACCTAAGCTAAGCCTACAGTGCTTACTTTGGGGCTAGGTTAATTGGTGTGTGTGTTGGAAATATTTATGTTTATTTCGGTTCGTATATCTTTCGTGACCAGTTCGTAAATCGTCTTAGAATTATTTTAGCAAAAGATAATTAGCACACAGCACATAGCATAGCACAGCTAAAGGAAAAAGTAAAACTGGAAAGATCTCGCAATGGAATAACAAAAAAAAACCCCAGAAAATCTTCGAGATTCGATTTCCGTGATTAACGAACTATATCCGTGCATGATGTCCACTCACACTTTTATCATCAGCATATTAATGTCCCCACTGCTGGGGCACAGGCCTTCCCTATGGATGGAATATAGAGACTGGGCCATGACCCACCACGCTGGCCTAGTGCTAATTGGTGGGTGCTAACGATTGTAGATGCAGCCAGGACTATCGGCTTGACGTGCCTTCCGAAAAACGGGGGAGGTCATGATAGCAAATGTTTGACTACCCATCCAATGGCCAACCACTGCGAAAGTTGCTTAATTTCTAAAATCGCAGCCAAATGCGCTAACCACCTGCGGCATCAGGCTCCATGAACTTTAGCAGGTACAGACAGTCCTCGTACTTACGGCAAGTTAGGTTCTCGAAATAGGCGACGTAAATCGAAACGACGTAAGTCGAGACATTGACCTCGCGACAAGTGAATAGGGGTGATGACGGGGTACAATAAACAAAATTCTATTTAGTCCGTCCGTTACATGATCAAAAAATAATGGACACGTCTTTTTTCTTTGGGCATTCAACCAAAAAATGACAAAGTTATAGCACGTCAAAGTTTGGGAGTAGGGGCTCGTGACGTCACTTTTGAGTGAAAATTGTACCAAAACGTGACGTCATGCGACTTTTCAAATCAATATATCTCTGCAATGTTTATCTTATGTGAAAAAGGAAAAAATACGTGTCCAATACTTTTTGATAATCTACCTGATAAACGAAGAAAAAAAATTAGTCATAATCCATATTCTCCTATGCCTTAAATCGAAACAATTGACGTATGGTTGAGGAATAGTGTCAAAACATAGTTTGACGTAACTTAAAACGACGTAAATCGAAACGACGTAAGTCGAGGACTGCCTGTATTAAAGTTGTAGGCGACTTACCAAGGGTCTTGAGGAAACTCCTCTCAGCCAACACCCTACAATAGGTCTCCGGGTGGTTGAAATGCGCGAGCATCGACAATATATCTTTGTTGTCTGCAGAGCACTCCACAGCTAACGCACCTTGTCCGACAGCGTATTTGATCTCAGCACATGGCAATATCTGGTGCGGAAAACAAATTGAAATAGAACTTTGCGAGTATAAAATAGAAAGAACATTTGTAATTTGTACGGTGGCGGTCAGAAAATGTTTACCAGTTTTGAAATTAGATTCCATATCACACATTTTTTATTAAAGTCTCAAATGTCATATCAAGTAACTTATTACCTTTCAAAAGTTATTATGCAAAATGACGCATCGAGAATAATAAAAAGAATTAGATATGTCTTTTTGATATTGAAACTCATTTCTTTATTTGTTGAAATGACATTTACCAAAAAATTATTGTTTGAACATTGTTTGGACAAGAGCAAAATTTTACGAAAATAATATTCATAACGAAATAAAATGGCAAGTTTGACCCTGGAGCAAAGGGCTTAATAATATTTCTCTTTGAAGATGGACATAGTATCAGTGCTTTATCACGAGAACTCAATACAGCGCGATTCACTGTGAGGCTTTGGATCCGGCGTCACGGCGAAGAAGGGCAATTAACAGATCATAGAAATAATTCAGGACGACGACCAATACTAACCGCCGCGCAAATAACAGAAATGATTCGTTGTTACGAAGAGAACGGTTTCACACCAATTAGTTATTTTGCTGCTTTATATGATGTGACGACCCGACGAGCCTTGCACAGTGCTGGACTACACTACAGACCCCATGCTATTAAAGTGGAGTTGCCGTCTCCTTCAACACTATACGTATGAAAGTTTCCAAAAACTTGTCAATCAGCCTATTAGGGCCCTATCTCTAATAGTTACCTTAGATATCCTATGCGCCCAGCCCATCCTCTGCAAGCCGGCGGTTGCCAGCAGCAACGCGGAGTATTCCCCGTCGGGCGCATCCAGTTTCCTCAGCCGCGTGTTGAGGTTCCCCCTAACGTCCAATACTGAGAGGTGCGGGTGGGAACCTCGCAGTTGTGCAGTGCGACGCAAAGAAGATGTACCTAACATTCATATTTACTTTACAAGTTGCGGCTCAGTAAACGGAAAAGGGATGATGATAGGGTGTAAATTAAACAATATTCTTTATAGTACATCAGTTCGATTATCAAAAAAATAAAGGACACATATTTTGTCGTTTGTCAATCAACTAAAAAATGACAAAAATAACTCGCGTCGTATTTTGAGAGTTCGTAGAAATTGTACCAACGTCAAGCGATAATCAATTTATCTCTGTAATCTTTTGATTATGAGAATAAAGAAAAAATACGTGTCCAATACTTTTTAATAATCAACCTGAAAAAAAAACAGGCATCATCGCTATTAATAAGGTATTATTATATATTTTATAAGGTTTGCGCCTTGTACTTCATCATTAGCCTATTAATGCCTCCATTACTGGGGCCTTTCCTTTAGATGAAGTCAGTCATACGTGTTGAGAATCCATCGCACGTCCACCACTAACAGGTGGGGATGAGAGCCTCGTGGGTTGAGCAGTGCCACGTCACATGCCTTCCCTATGGATGAAGCAGGGAGAACCATCCATTACCCACCGACCACGCGGTTCTAGTAAGTTTTAAGAGCCCTTATACAAAATTGCGCCGCTGCCGTACTGATCGGCGCGAAGGTAGATTTGCACTAGTAGATATTGCATTTCACGGGTGTTGTTTCGAGTCTTATAAAATAATTATTAATGAACCAATTATAAAAATATATACATATTTCAGTAGTTCAATGATGGTAGATTAGTTTTAGGAAAGTTTTTAATAGTAATTCTATTTAATTCAATATCAAAATACAAGGTAAACCTGCATTATTTTTTGTCAAAACTCATGGAGGTTAGATGTTTTTTTTTGATAATTAATGAGATGAAAAATCAAAATTTAATACATTATGTTACAACAAAAACATATTTCTGATGTCGTAGTAATTAATTTGATCTAATTTATTGAGCATTATTGAGAGATTTAGGCGTATGAAGTTGTACATATTATCGTTTTTTCCGTAAACTAGCTGCAGTAGAACGATACAAACGATACAAAAACAAGGAAAATAGTATTTGCAAATATTCTACATTAACTTACAAAAGGAAGAAAAAATGTTCTGTTTACTTCAATTGCAATTTTTTGCAAAAAAATTTAAAAGGCTTTTAACGGGAGCAGATGCAGTCGGGACTATTGTTGTCCGAAGTACTTAGGAACTCGAGATTTTTTTTGAACATCTTTTCGGCTGCATGTAAATAAATATCCTATGGAAAAAATGAAACGGAAATACGGCACGAACGTCACACGACTAAAATATACTATATATATGTGTGTGTGTGTGGGATGCGTGCGCAGCTCTTTCCCACGAGCATGAAAGTTGGAGGGTAACTCGGCGAAGGCTGAAACACTACGTTTACTTAAATATGAGTGATACGTGCGCTGCTACATTCCCATATGCCTTGTACACCGACTAATGATAGGTTATTTAAGAAAATAAGTTTATAAAGATGCACAACACGCGGCGTGTTGTAATGACTAACGCAAGACATTGAGTCCATCTCACACATCACGCACAAAAATGGCTTTCAGTAGTAAATAATTAAATTAAGCTAATGCCAATATAATTATGTGGTAGGCTGATGCACCACCATGCGAAGCGATGCAAAGCGATTCACTTATTCATGACAAGCACAAACAAAGTTATGTTTGAATCCTAATATCCTTAATCGACTATTGACAATCAATTAATTGATATAACACACAACGTGAGATATATCTGAACTTCATTTAGATTCAAAGGCACATCACCTATAAGACAACAAAGTTACATCTCCAACGATTGTTAAAGAAAACACTTTAAAGTTAGAAATCGATGGAAGGGCATAATTATTTATGAATAGTGTGAGTACATAACTGTAGATTATCGTGTATGGATATTTAGTTTACATCAATCGTGCCATGGTAGTGAATGGTAATGATTTTCATAATAATCTTTTATATACCGTAAGTGAGGGTTACTTTAGCTCGGGCGGGTAACTTTGTCCCAAATCAGAAAAAATATTGAACTTGCCGCCCCATCAGTATCTCTTGGGTGACCGTAATAGTTCCAGTTGAAAATCACAGATAGCCATATAGGCGCGAAGTGTGGTGTTGTTTTACCGACATCGTTATTGTATCAAGTTGTCATTGTAACGCGGGAATTTTTGTAACTGAAATAGTTCGCAAGTTCATGCGCAAACTTTCTCAAAACTGTGGTTTTCAGTAGTTTACAATTTTTGCTTTAACTTAATTATTTTTGGGTAAAAATATCCATTTGTGTATTCAGTATGCTAATGGTGATTTGTTATAAGGGTAACTTAACCCCAACATGGCTTAAAATGAGTTTTTTTCACAGAGAAAAATAAACGAGCTAAAGTAACCCTCTTTAAGGCCAACTTTGGCCCAAAATTAAAAAAAAATATATGAACCCTTAAATATTATTTTTTCTATTTACGTATGATATCTTTGTAACTTATACTTTAAAGTTCACAATGGAAAGATATAAACGTGACATATTCATCACAAAGAGAAGCTACAAGTTTATTTGAATAAAAAAGTGCACATTTTAGGTCAAAGTAACCCGCAGTTACTCAGTATTGATAAAGTGATATTTGTCGCCCATAGACTTCGATTTCTTTTTACGCAACGGTAACGAAGGCCTAACAGACTAAGTCTATTATCTATGGCGTTTAGGCGATTTTGACGATATAATGATTTTGTGTGCCTGCGAGTGATACGATATGCACATTTTAAAACCGGCCAAGTGAGAAAAGACCTCGGATACAGACAGACGAACGGGCAAAGGAGGCTCAGTAATAGGGGTCTACCCTTTGAGTACGTAACCCTAAATATTAATATTTCGACACTACGGAAGCTTAGAGTAGACCCCCGGTTTTATGTTAGCACATACGATTGTTATCGCGGTCGATAGGAAACATGCTATTACATTAAGTACTTAATGTAATTCAAATGCATTCCCCGCTTACCGATTACGGATCCGGCGGGCAAGGAGGCGAGCGACGAATCCTTGAAGGCTTCCTTCAGCACTAATGCGTCTCTGGGATCTTCTCTAAAACAAATACGTTGATTTGAACCCCAACAATTATTTCGCTTCATGATCAGAAGGTCTAAATAGTAAAACGATTCTATAAACCTAAACTTAAATTTGACAACAGCATATTCTTTTCATTCTCTATACGGAATGAAAGGGAGAGATTGATGTTAAATTTAGTTTTAAGTTTAGAGAATCACGCCAGAATCGACACCTCAAATAGGCTGCATAGCAGAACATCTATTTAGCAAATCGTCACATTGTCAAAATGTATGGATACTTACTCACGCAAATGAATTGAAATTAAAATTATACTTTACTTAATTGATTTATTGATAGCTTTTTTGAATTATCCAATTTTAAATTGCCACTTAGATTTAATGATCGTGAAGCCTTATCTCAATGGAATTTTTAAGGTATTGCCCCATAATGCCCCCCAACAGGATTCCCACATTATCAATAAAACAAATAAAAAGTATCCTATGGCGCAATCCATGGTCATTGCAAAAGTGGCCTTTCTATATACATATATATTTAGTAACTGAAAATAATTTATTTCTTTAACAATACTTAGTAATACTCCTTTACAGATAAATTTAAATTATTGATTGGTAATAAAACTAAAATATGACCTTCAAAAAATTACTTTACAATTACATTGAATAACAACCTAATAACCCAAGTTGAAAATGAATTAACAGCTGCGCAAAAACATATATTATCTTCAATTGAAGTCTGCCAGATTGATAAACATGATTGGGATACTGTATAAACACTGGCAGGTACAGCAATAAATATTATGAAAAAAAAACTCTATGTATGGAAGAAGTTTCCTAGTTTTTTTTACAAATTATATTTTAGTATTGTCATTATTGAAATATAAATATGTAATCACAAAAGGTAGTTGTACCAATGATCAACAAGAATGATTGGATTGTTTTCCATGATCAATAAAAATAACAATAGGTAACTGATTACTAATATTTGTCGGTCATTAGTGCCACTACCTTCCTAAAAAAAACTACTTATTTGGGCTTTATGGTATAAACTGTGCTTGATCTCATTGTTGAACAGTTGCAAGAGTCAAATAACAGGTGTGTTTTAATGACCAGAGTGTGGATAATACCACAAATTGTAACTTTTCTAGATAGTAAATGATATGAGGAGCTGGCGAAGAAAACGGTATAATTACATCAAATAAAATTTTACAGCAGCAGTAAAAAACTGAATGGACATACCTACAGTGAACTTTTAGGCGGTTTGATTGACATGAGTTGAAATTCAAAAAGCAACAAAGCTGGCCCAAAACCTGGCTGGCTGGCTGTAAAAATAAAGTATTATATGGTCAAAATCATATGCGTATTTATACTGTTTTGTTAGCCAGCTCCTCATATGTATTTATGCAATGCTAGTGCACTTTGCATGTGACATTTGGTCAGAATTTGCTAGAATTCTACTAGAATGCTGATTGGATATGTTTTTATTGAAATAAAAAATTGATTTTCAATAAAACCAGCATACTGTGAAAATGGTTAAGGATTGTCCTTTTTGCCTTTTTGTTACACTTTGAAAACAGAAAAAAGTCTAAGTCTAAAATAAGTATGTGATGCCTGCCTAAGGTAGTGGCACCAATGACTGACAGGAACTCATGATCGACATTCCTTATGTAACCAATGAAAATAAGAGTAGGAGTAGTAAAAGGATCACTAAATATGGTAACACCTAGTGTTTATCGCTCATTGTTACCATATTTAGTGATTGGTTACCCACTCCTATTTTCAGTGCTTACAGAAACAAAGGTTGATAATTATTACCACTATATTACCTACCTCTCAAAAACTGCTCCTATAGTAAGTCCATCAGGTAATGTTGTGGGAAGGTCTTTTAGAGAGTGGACCACAAAGTCCACAGTTTTGTTCCTCAATGCATCTTCTAAATCTTTAGTAAATAATGATTTTTCACCAATTTTTGGAAGCGATACATTTAGTATCCGATCGCCCAGTGTAGTCATAGTAACTGAAAACACAATTAACATTTGCAATTATGTAATAACAAGGAATTATGAAAACATGATCACAGAAATTATAATTGTAATCATAAGACATCATTGTAAATGACAATGTTATTTGAATTAACTTCAAAAAATTACATAATTACTTCCTAATAGAAATTTGTTAAACCTTTTGTGGTAAAATAACAATAGGAGTAAGACATTATTTGCATACAATAAGGGTTTTATAAGAACTATGACGAATATGGATTTTTTTACATACAGTATAAACTAAAAAAGGTATAGTAGGTATAGATCGCTCCAAACTTCTAGTCCGCTCTGAAGTTGTTTCGCACAGGTGTACAGCCCTAAAGACAACCTTCGTCCCTTTAAATATCTGTCTTTTGTTACTACTATGCGAATTGAACAGTGTTCAGAGCGGACTAGAAGATTGGTAGGCAAATATGTTATAAACATACACAATCATTGTTAAATGTCAGCATTATTAAATAATTATTACTTACCTATTGTAAATTCTTTACCAGGGTAAACCTTTTTTAATGATTCAATGACATGCTCAGTCTGAATAAGAGCAAGCTGCAAATATAAATAATATTAAATCACAATAGATAATTTCTTATTCGTCTGGGGAGTTTCATCTTAAATATTTATGCAAAATAACTTACATTACATAAATAACATACATACTAAGTTGATGAACTTAATAAACATTAGGATGTAGTAAAATTTTTAAGAATATATATATTAAAAGTAGTAAACTTAACTCACTAACAGCGGAAATTATATTTACCTCACTTTTCCTTGAACCAACACGTATAACGTTCTTCGCTTCAGTATCCATGTTATTAAAAGTAACGATTGATAAATGTAAATCAAAATATAAATTATAAGGTTATGTCATGAACTGAGTATGACCCGTAATGCATTGGATATAGAATTACCTACGCAGAAGGTGTGCTTTAATTTTGTCACCAACACTGTGATGGACAAGATTTGAGCACTAAATAGAGAAAAAGATAAAGGTTTAGCAGTAATTCACTTCATTTCAGAATCCAGAATACATACTGACATTGACATGACAAGATGACATACATGTCATGTGATATGATACCAAATGTCAAAGTCACGCTTGCTTTTTTTAACATTCTTTCTCTTTAGGGAAAGCAAAGGGAACGATGCCCATACAACCTAGTGTTAAGTTTTATTAATCTTATTATTTTATACTTTAGAACTCTCGGTTAAGCACGAAAATTGTCGAGTTTCTGATTGCTTTCCAATTACAGCAACGCTTCGCACAATTGAGCACTCTCAAAAGTGATGCTTTCGTGTGATGCGTGCAATCGTACCAACTTAGAGACAGAAAATTAACAAGTGTTAAATCTTTAAGTTGGCATTGATCGAAATGTTTTATTTATATGTTATCGTTAGTAATATTATATATTGTTGAAAAATTATTAAAGCTTTCGTTTCATTAAATAGTTTTTTTTAAATAATCAAAGTTCATTCAAACTGTTAAAAAATAAATATAAGTATGGATGAAGGTACAAACATTGACTTTTTTTTTCAACACTGAACTTAGCGCATTCTGCTGGTGCATTTGAAAACTAATTCACGTTCCAATTAAGCATCAGCATAATTCAGCATTGTGCGGCACTGAGTCGCATTATGCTCTGTAATTGGAAAGCAACCACTTTTTTCGATAAGATTCCGTGAGGTAGTTTAGATTACAATAAACTCACGTCCACTTGACCGGAATATCGTATAATTTAAACGATTTCATTAATTCTTCAGTTGCGTAGACGGTTGTAATAAAAATCACACCAATTTTTTTCACAATATCCACTATGAACGAATTTGAATTAAAAATAAGAAGATGAAATAGCGCCAAAAACTCTTTAATTTTGTCGTGTGTAAAGTATTACGGATAATTTAAATACAGCTACACTGACATAATTTTAGGGTTGTCAATGGTGTCGATTCTAGCGTCATTCTCTAAACTTAAAACAAAATTTAACATCAGTCTCTCCTTTTCATTCTGTATAGAGAATGACAAGGAAGCACTGTTGTCAAATTTAAGTTTAGCTTTAGAGAATCATGCCAGAATCGATATAAGTGTTAAACTTTAGATAAATATTTAAAATTATTTCATTTTTATTTTCGCCAATTTTCTGATTATTAAAAAATTCCCTTCTTTAGTGAGCTCTTTACACCTAAATAGGTTTAGCTAGGGATTTCCTTCAGAGGGAAGGGGCGTATATACCATGGCCCAGTCAAGATGCTCAAATTCCACGATCGCAGGCCGAACGGGCACCACCTGCATCATTCTATTTATATAAATTACTATGCAAAAGGTCTATCAAGGGAGAAAACGATAAATGTGTAATTTAATAAAAACTTATTTTAACAGACAATTTTTATTCATCTACTCAAAATACACATGGAACATAGACGGAAATAGACACAAATGCGAAACTACTAGCAATTTTCTAAATGCAAATTATAAAAAAGACATTTCTCGCCTGCAGCCAAGTCAATACTTAGGCCAAACTTACAAAAAAAGTGTGATGATTATTATAGATTTCTAAATACATTCACAAATATTTCGAATCACAGTTTCATTGTCCCATTAATCACAATCAATTATTTAAAAGAACAGAGCTCAAGATATAAAAATAAAATAAAGTATTCTGTGAGATTAACATCGCCAGAAAAGAATATTCGTCAAAGTCTAAATTGGTGGAAAAACACATCTAGTCTTAAATTAAAAGTGTGGTCTTAGGAGATTATCGAGTTACTTCGGTGTGCGACGACTGCTCCTAAGTCGCCTCCTATTGTTGGGCACTATGAGAGAAGGTCTAGACTTCGTTTCTGTAATGGAAAATCAATATATATTTCCAAGTAAACTAAACAAAGTAAAATTTATGATTTTTCGGTAAGTAGTTGGCACATTCGGGTATTGGTTAGTATGTACCAATGGAATAACAAGAAATAATCACACTTATATTATAAGGGCAAAAGTTTGTGAGTGTGTATGTTTGTTATTTCTTCACATCTAAACGGCTGGAGCGATTTTAATAAAATTTAGTATGGAGTTAGCTGACACCCTGGATTATGACATAGGCTACGTTTTACTGCGGAAAAATATTCCTAATAAACTTCGGGGTACAGATAGTAGTTTATAAAGGGTAGATATTTAAAAATAATGAGAAAATTTCAAAACTTACTAGGTTTCACTGCTGGTTTGATTTCTTCAACAATTTGGACTGTTTTCTTTCCAGTAGTAGTCTTATTTTTCTTAGGTTTAGACTTTTCTTTGTTTTGGTCTAACTCTGAGTCAGATTTCTCATTACTACTATCATTGGATATTTTTTTTCTTGTAGTCCTAGTTGCAGGAACAGTTTTGTTAGGAACCTTTTTATTGGACCTTGTACGTCTTTGTTGTGTCATTACCTCTTTCTTCCCACAATTTTGTTTGGCTGCTTCTAGGTTTTCCTTTGCCTCTCTTTTCTCTTTCATTCTGTAAACCCTAATCATTGCCGGTGTGTATCCTTCCAAACCTTCGGGGTTTTCCTCTGGTTCTTTAATATTCTTTCCAGATGCTCTTTTTTTAAAAGATGCTATGACTTCTTTCATAGCATAAGTTGGGTTCAATCCTTGCAAATAATCTTTCTGCATCAGTGGTGATTGAACATTATCAACATTGTTATCTGAGGAAGAATTAGACAGTTTCCGAATTCTATATTTACATGTTGATTCATCATCTTCACTTACTGTAGCATTACGTTCCTTCCTGATGATATCTTCTGGGTTACCAGCTAAAATTTCCGCCCACGTAAACTGCCTTGCTGACCCCATAAAGTTTCCAAACTTACCAATACTGTTTCTGTGTTTTTTTACTCCTCTACGCTTTTGTACTGTTTTCTTTTTGGATCTTAAATTTTTGGGAGACAACTTTTTACCAAATATGTCATGTGGCATCAGAGATTTTTTGAGTCTTGCAACAAGATCTGCATCTGATATAAAGAAGTTCCTTGAAGTACATGGTTTACGCACTCCATCACTAGATGAGTTTAGAGTTTGTTTTAATAACTCCAATTTTAGATCATTTTCTAGAGAGTACACATTTTCCCTTTCAAAAGCTTTTTTGATTCCATTTATAACCACAAAATCTCTTGATGTATTTTTTTTCATCATTATTTTGGAACGGAATAGTTTATTATTACGGTTCACTGATGCCATAAATGTTTCAGCAAAGTTAAGGCAAATGTCTTTGTCATAGCCATTTTTAAGCAATTCACTTTTAAAGAGACTTCTGCAGTAATCATAATCAGGTTTCTCTGTAAAATCCAAACTTGTGACATACTGCAAATACTTTTCCATAAATTGAGGATAGAATTCAGTCTTAAAACATGTTTTTAACAACAGCTTTATATCACTCATAAAGTTTTTCTTTAATGCATGTACTAAATCAGGCTCAGCTAAAACTTCTGTAGTTTTCCAGGGAAGGGTACCAGTCAGCCAATCGAGGAGATTGTATCCTAGAGTTTCTAAGTCAGATCTCCGGGAGTGTGCACCAATGTGTGAATCTCTTGAACTATACTCTAATGTACCATCATGGGCTTTTCTTGCATCCATGCCAAATTCTTTGTGTTTCCCATTGGAATCAAGAAACTTAGATGCCAAACCATAATCTAGCAAATAGATTTGACCATTTGACTGTGACAATATAGCTTCTCCATATAATTCATTGAAGGGAAGCGTTTGAGTTTCAGAATAATTGTTATGTATAGAGTCTTCACAAAATTCTTCTGATGTTCTCATGAGATTGTTGCCAAAGTCATCAATCAACTTCTGATACGATTGATCAGAACATACTGAGCTGTTTAGGTCTTCATAGTTAACATAGTTTGAGAGTTGTCTTAAATTGAATGCATGGTGCCTATGTAAAGTTCTATTGTCTCTTTCTGAAAGAATTCTCCTCAACTTCTTCTTTACATTGGCTAACCTTTTGTCACTTTCACTTGAATGTGGAGAGCTTTTGTAGTCTTTCACAATATAATCTTCATCATCATAATAAGACATTCTGTTTTTACCATTTTTAACTCTTCGCTGCTTTCCATTCAATACAGACACTTCTTTAATTTCTTTTTGAAACGATGGTGTGTGTTTCACAGCTGGTACTTTGCCCAATTTCATCCCATCAAAGCCTAGCATTAGATTTGAACTTTTTATATCTGAATGTGTATACCCCTGATTGTGTAAGTACTCCAACACATCAAGAATTTGAATGGCCAATACTAGTACATTTCTTAAATCTAGGACCTTTGTCCTAGCTATGATTTTATGTAAATCAATGTCAAATCGCGGAAGGACAAGGAACCTGTACTTAATGCCTGATGTCTCATCTGTGAAGGACCCACTGGCAATGTAGATTGGCATGCCAAGGCGTTTCTGTTTCATTTGTTGTCTCCAAGATTTTACTGGAATTATAATCATGGTTTAAATTTGGTTACAATATTGTTAATAATATTTTTTAAGTAGCAGTGTTTTTATAGTTACCTTTGCAAGCTTGAGCTGATCGAATCAAACAATGTATTTCAACAAATAGGGGCCCATTTGTATGTGGTTCTATCTTCACAACATATCTTGCATTTAACTTTGTGACTTCTTTCTCAACTTCATCTGAAGCAAGATAAATGCGACCAAAACTGCCCCTTCCTGTAAACCATTACATGTTAAGATAAACTGGAAAAATATGCAAGGTGTTGATAACATAGTTAATGATTAAATAACACATGGAATGTTTGCAGCACTTTCACTTCCAAACATCTGCTATCTGGGATTTATTCTGAACTGAATCACATTAGACCTAAAAGATATGCGAATGACAATGTTGGGACTCACCAATAGGCTTTCCAATGCGCCATTTATTTTGCTGAATGTCCGAAAACACTATTCCGGGTGGCAAAGCTTCGTCGTCAAAAAAACTAACATCTAGACTAGGTGGTACTTCTAGAACTTTGCTCTTCTTCTTAGGAGGCATTGGTAATTGTACTACCTCCGTACAGCGCCGAGGCATCATTAAACCATCTAGATATTCACTAAAATTAAGAAAAATCCGATAACAAACTTCTTTATCTTTAACTTACCGGTAAGCGTGTCAATCCTAAATGCGAATAAACTAGGTATAGAATGGTGTTAAAGGGCATGGAAAACTAATCGAATAAGCAGTAACGTGCAATAAAATGTGACTTTAAATCGTTTTAATCGGATAAAATATTATACAACAAAACGCTTACCTTAATTTCTATGTTCAGGCTTATGTTGCTTGAATAATGTTATGTTGGCTGAAGTAAAATTATTGTTTACAATGAGAAGTATAGAAAAACTCATACGTATAGGAATAGCACGGACAAATTGCAAGTAATAAACACAGAAATTACAGAGTTTATATCAAATGTTCATTACATCGCCATGTTGTTAAAATCAACACTAGTTTAATCTATGAATCAACCGATCAATGCTCATGACCATAAACAAAAAAGTCTATACTCATGACGTGACGGGACTTCTTTGCTATTTTACCGGCTGGTGATAATGGTAACGATTCTGGCATGATTCTCTAAATTTAAAAGAATGAAAAGAAGAGACAAAAATACGGAAAAATAGAAAATCACAGTAGATAATGACAAGGATACATTGGTGTCGATTCTAGCATGATTCTCTAAACTTAAAACTTAATTTAACATCAGTCTCTCCTTTTCATTCTGTATAGAGAATGACAAGGATGCACTGTTGTCAAATTTAAGTTTAGCTTTAGAAAATCATGCCAGAATCGACATCACTGTAATCAAATTTGATTTGAGGTTTAGAGAATCATGCCAATGTTATCGATTCTGGCATGTTTTTCTATACCTAAAATTAAATTTGACATGAGTATATCCTTGTAATTCTTCGTACAGAATGAAAAGTAGAGAGTTATTAAGTAATCGACATTTTTTTTTTCTATTAGGCTTTTTATGATATCAATAATTTAAATATGATCTAAAAATATCAGATTTATATCGGATAGACATAGTTTCAAATGGACGGACCACTTCACAAAAAAGGGTAGCCATTTTTCTGAGTGTGTCGCTGTCAATGAGCATGTATGGGTGTTTGTGTAGAGAAGCAATAAAAATCAAATTGTGGTTTGAATAGCTGGGCACCGTTAATCAAATAGTTAACTTCGTTAAACGTTACATTTCGAAAGATTTAACGCAATTTAACGTTAATTGATAATCCGTTAACACGTGATAAAAATTGCATATTTTATATCGTTGCGTTAGTGATCTGCTCACAAAAACTGTTGTTTTGGGTTCTGGAAGTTAATAGGTTAGGTTAAAAAAAGACAGTGGTGTCGATTCTGACATGATTCTCTAAACTTAAAATTAAATTGGACATAAGTCTCTCCTTTTCACTCTGTATAGAGAATGACAATGATAGACTGTTGTCAAATTTAAGTTTATAGAATCATGTCAGAATCGTCTGAAAGTGAGGCTATCACCATTAATACTGGTCGAAAGAGCAGTTCTTCTGTTTGGTTTACCCGGGTTAGATCCCGCCGTAACAGTCTCTTTAAATAGCAATTATTGAGACTCATGCACTCTTCTTATATGCTGTTTCACATTATTTAGGCTCGATATGCGAATGCGAAATCCTTTATCCTATGGGATAAGTGACCAAAAATTTATTATCTATTGCTCCTCCGTACTTCGAAAGCCACGCTAAGTTGTTAGTTCAGCTTACATCCACAGTTGTTAGCACCCACCAATCTGCATTGGGCCCGCATTATAATTCATTGCCCAATCTCCCTATGCCAACCAGAAGGAAGGCCTGTGCCCCTGCAGTGAGGACATTAATAGGGTGATAACGATGCGGTGAATTAGAATGACGGATAACTATCCGTTTTGCCTATATCCGTCTCGTCCAAAACACTAATATTCCAAAGTTGTATTAGCCTACTATTAAACTATTTTAACAGTAGGGAACCATTATATATTCTGGAATGTATCAAATTTTCCCAATTAATATCACATCGGATCCCGACTGTTAAAGTTACATTGTTCCATACCTAACAGAATTCTGGATAACTAGACTTGTTTTTTTTTTAAGTAAAACTTCTCTTCGGACGAGGTGTAAATGGAAAAATCCCATGGAAATTATGAAATGGAAATGCGCCACGAGCGTCACACGACCATATATATATATATATATATATATATATATATGTGTGTGTGTGTGTGTGTGTGTGTGTGTGTATGTGGGGGATGCGTACGCGGCTCTTCCCGACGTGCATGAAAGTTTTAGGGTAACTCGGCGAAGACTGATACGCTACGAGCGTCACACGCGACAATAACTAGTCTATAAATACAGATACATAAAACTTTTCTTTTTATCAACTGTCTAATTATGTTGAATTTGGAACACGTATAATTATTTTTTCATCCCACCACCTCGGAAAGTGTAATTTTGCGCTTCGAAATCTGGCTGGAAAATTCTATTTTATTCGCTTGAGCGGCAAAGTAGATTTGAATTTAGAACATCACATATAATGAGTACTCAATATAATTGTAAATTCAAAACGTCATTAAACCTATTTAATGTAACCTCTATGGTGCCAAATTTATGATTAGAACTTTTTAAATTGTGAAAAAATTTAAATTTGGAACCTTCTTGGTTTCTTTGTTTTATTTGCGTGCTTCGCGCCATTCTAGTTTTTCACGTTTTATTGCTTAAATATTTTGTCATTATAAATTGTTTTCTTTTTCATTTTGTCATTTCCTCGCTGAGGTGGGATGAAAAGTTACGTATTGCACTCGAGTGGAAAGATTTTTCACCTTGTGCTCGTTTGTTTCCTTCGCTTGCTCGGTCATCCAAATCGAGCACGCGGTTAAAAAGGAACTTTCCACTCTTGTATAATAAATAACTATAAAAACATCTTTTGATTTTGCGCCATTTCACATATTTTTTCGTGTTCATTATCAAAATACAATATGGAATGGGGTGTTAAAGTAAATAGGATTGCAGTGATCGCCTTGCACAAAGTGGGTATGGAGCCGTTAGTTATATTCCAGACACTTCAAAAGCTTGTTATCAGCCGTATGTTCGTATATCGCACTATCAACAGATACAACAATACTTCGTCTGTCGACGGCCAGAAAAGATCAGGGTGGCCGTGCTTTTAAAGCCAATATTCGTTAAAACCCCATTGGGAAGTAAGAAATGAAGATTTCCGCTAGGACTCTGCCGCGTATTATAAAACAATACCTGAAGCTCGGTGCTTATGGTCGATATACAGGAGATGCCCTGAATCAATCTTTATAATTGAAGAGAGTGCATCGATCAAAACGGTTTCTGACGCGATACGCAGGTGAAAAGCACAAAAATATCTTCTTTTCCGATGAAAAAAAAATCACGATTGAAGAACACTACAAATTACAATATGAAAAATAAAAAAGTGTACGCTCACAGTTCTAAAGAAGCTGCTCAAGTGGTCGGAAAGGTACAACGTGGTCATCATCCTGCGGCAGTGATGGTTTGGTGGGGCGTGGTTTATAAAGGTGTCACAAAACTACATTTTTGTGAAAAAGGAGTGAAATTTTCAGGCAAAGTGTATGAAGATATAGTCTCGGATCATGTTGTGAAACCTCTCTGCAATACACTTTTTTTTTAACTATACCGTGGACTTTCCAGCAGGATTCTGCACTCACAAGGCACCCCATAAAATGATGACGTAGCGCAAAATAGATTCAAAAAGGCATGATAGGACATTATACCTGTTTTTTTGTCCGTTACTTTTTAACACGTTTAAGAGCACGATTACATGATACACGATTTTTTTTATCCTATTTGAATAAAATATGACCTGTCAAGATTGATATTTAAATTATTATTTTAACACCAATTAAATTATAATGTTCATAGTATTATTATTGTCAGATTCATGTTTTTTTAAGTTATTACTTTTGGAGTCATTCGCTGTTACAGTTATTGATATACACACATCAAAAGTGTCTAGGGATCAACATATATTTTTGCAATAACTTTTCTCCTGATTGATATTAATTAAAATTTTCTTTAAGGATTCATCAAATAAAGTGTTTTCGTTTGTCACAGTAACGATAAACCAAGTCACCTTTGCATTAATAAAGAAATTTGCCATTTTCCTAATAAAGGGATTTTTGACATTTGAACCACTAACACAAAAGTTCGAAAAAAAGACTGAAATAACAGTTTTCTCTAAAATTTTATTGGGTAACTTAAACAATTAATAATCCGTATTTCTACCGCGAACACTAACAACACAAGAACATCGGTTTGGCATACTCAAAATGAGTTCATCCAAATCACGCTGTGGAATGGCCGCCCATGTTCGTTGCAACAACAAAAAAAGGTCTTCTTGCGACTGGATACCCTCCATATTCGGCAGAGCTCTTCTCTGTAGCATATCCCATGCATGCTCAATCGGGTTCAAGTCTGGCGACTGAGCAGGCCAGGGCAGGACATTGATGTTAGCTGCGGCGAGAGTCTGTCTTACAACTCTTGCGGTGTGCGGTCGTGCATTATCATGCATTAACTGAAATAAGGGACCGATTTGCACTTGTAGAGGAACGATGACGTCTGATACAATCGTCTCAGCATAAATTTGAGCGTTGAGGTTGCCTCTGATCCAAATCAACTCAGTTCTTCCGCCGATCCAAATACCCGCCCATACCATGATGGTTCCACCACTATAAGGATGGACTTCCTGGCAGGATTTTAATCGCTGTTGGCGTCCAGGGGTTCTCCAGTGTCGTATTCGCTATGTGCACGACAGTAGCGCCACCTACAATGCGCAACTTTCCGGGATTATGCCAAATAATGACATCAGTTTGTATTTTATTGATTTCTAGTAAATATAGTAAGGTAAAGATAAATAAAAATTATTATATATTGTATAATAATTTAAATAATGTCGGATTTCAATTCGGAATTCAGTACAGTCAATAATAACTCTTGTATTGATGTAATCTGGACTGAAACACTTGGGCATTGGTGCTTGTACGGTGGCTCTATTCGGCCAAAAGATTAAATTAGCAGTTGAACAAGCTAGATTTTGTAAGATCGAATGAAATATACGTGAGATTGTGGTTTTTTTGTACACCAAATAACACACTCAATGCTGAAAATGTCAAGCCAGTTTTCATTTTTATCAAAAAAATCAGAAGTCGGTCTTTAGTGGAAACTGTACATTTTCTCATAGTTAATCTTGTTAATAAAAACTCAAAATTGCTAAATGACACACCAGAAGGATCTAGGAGTTCTTGATCATTTGTTATTGATGAAATACCAACAAATTCTTGACTTTTTGTTTCGGTAGATTGATCCTCATACGATTTTTTGTCAGTGCCACAGCTTTTATCTTTCTTTCTTGAATTATTTGTCATTAAAATT